AAATTACTATTGGCTGTCAAGTCTGAGACCACTCCGAGAACACACATTGACGTGAAACCATACTTGAGGGCTAAATTCTCGTATAGGAATTCTCGCGAAATTGGTGGGAATTAATAAATAACAACTGGTAAAATGAATCGATACCGTAGTATACTTGAAGCTTTTTACATGTCTGCCTCTGATTGTTTTAAGGAGGGAAGCCACTGTAAAATCATTGAAACTACACCATAATTTAAAATTTTTTATACGTGTAAATAATTGATTTACCATTACAACTAAAAAATGGGCTTAAACTACGCTTCTTAACAATCATTTTAAAAAATATGGGCGTTTCCCGCTAGTCTGGAAGATTAAAAATGAACCGATTGTCTGAAAGAGAAAAAAAAATCCCGAGTACTTCTTTTTACATGTGCTCAACTGGCAAACCTCACATACTTTCAAAATATTTAGTTTTAGGTTCCAAAAAACAATTTGTAAAACCTGTTATGAAATTTCATTACAAATCTTAAAGTTTCAGCTGAAACTTTAGGGGGTCGTTTCACCTCCTAAATACGAAAACGGTCCATTATAAAAAAAATACGTATATCTTATTTTTTGGTCCTTCAAAACATATCCAAAAATCGAAACACTCAGAGGCGGACAACTAAAAAGCTTTCCTTGTTAGTATATATTGTACAAAACAATAATAAGAAATTAAATAAAAACACGATGGCCCAGTGGGAAAAACGTCTTATTTTTTACTGGAGTCCTACAATTATTTATTACTCCTACAAATACAAATATTTTAAGTAGATGCGTCTTTCTAAGAGTATTTGGAAGATGTTCAATGGAAACAGATACATTCACAAAAAATACGATTTCCTCTAGGCATAGTTTGTGTTCAAATTGACCTATCGTTAAATCAACCAATTTAAAATTGACGTAGCGACGTCAGGAGTGATCTGCAACTTGGAAAATAAAAATATATTTATAAATTCGTGAATCAAGTGTTCCAAGACAGTGCTGTGAACTGCAACAGGATAAATCGATCAAAGTGCATTTCAACATCGTCCACTTCAAACTTTGAAGTTCAAAGGATCGTCTTAAAAATTTCCTCCTCTTTGTGCCGAAGAATCTTGAAATAAACAGTCGCAACGAATATTTCTCACTTCGAGTCGCCGAAGAATGAACCAAAGCGTTCAAACACTCCCCTCTGGATATACGCAACGTCGTAATCTCATTCCTGGAAAAGCTCTGACTTCACTTCCTGTCGTCATTGGCCAACCGTATCTCCTCTGACTCGTCAATTTCCTCCAACTCGAGCAACAGTTAAAAATGCAATATTTGGAGTGATATGACGTCGATCCAGCGTGTATCATGCGTCGACAAGGACTGCGTGTGCGTTCTGTGCCGTGAGCTGAAGGATACCAGGATGACCGCGAACCTGAAGAGCTCCAGAGCTCCTCACGAAGGAGTTAACTTCATTCTGCGCCGAGGTTTGCCCTTAACGACGAGGATCCCGTCCAAGGAGTGGCTGGAGACGGAGGAGCCAAGGTTCAAAGGATACGGAGACGCCACGAAGGACAAGAGTCACGGAACGGAAACAGAGAGGACGATGACGCCAGCTGTCACGGGGAAACCCGACAGAGACGTTGCTCACAAGACTGTTATTTACTTCGGGGACAGCAGCCAGAGGCAGAGGGAAGCCAAATCGAAGGAGACTCACACGGGACGATTGGTAAGTGAGCGGATTTTCGGGAAACTTTGGAGAATTTGTCGAACCGACCTGAGAACTTTGCTGTAGGGTGTTTGTTTGGAAAACATTTGCTATTTGTTCTGAAGTTACGACTTGGGTGATATTAACCCTTTGCACTCGAGGGCCTTTTTTTCTGGTATCTGTCAGCAACTCGAGATGCTTTCTTAGCATTCTATTGCCACAAATGCTGAGCTATCGAGATTTGAGAGTCAGGTCACCTTTACTGCACCGACAATCATTTTATTGACATTTCGGGTTTTAAAGAAATTAAAACTAAAGAAACATTATTGCTGATAGATTTGCTGCGTGCAAAGGGTTAACTGACGGGGGTATTATGAACTATTGCCACTTGGACAATTTAATATATTATTCAGAAATGCTTGAATTACTTAAAATATTTTAACCGTTTGCACTCGAGGCCCTTTTTTTCTGGTATCTACCAGCAACTCGAGATGCTTTCTTAGCATTCTATTGCCACGAATTCTAAGATTATATTGACTTCTCGAATGAGATCTCTAATTCGAGATTTGAGAATCAGGTCACCTTTGCCTCAAAACGACGATCATTTTATTGGCACTTCGAGTTCCAAAGAAATTAAAACTAAAGAAAACCTAGCGGTGACTGAGAGTCAATGACAACGCTGCAACTTTGTCAATTCAAGGTCTTTTCCGAACAAAAAAATTGCGTCACATTCCCCAAGAAACGTTCTTTCAAATACCCTTGGACTCGTTATCAAACAGTTTTCCCTTTACCCCCGAAAAACTCTCAGATATACAGGGTAATCATTTTATCTGAAGACATTGAAATATCTCTAGAATTATGCATCAGATTAGAACAAGCGGGTAATGAAAGTTGTTCGTTGCGAAGGGGGAAAATGCAAAAACTCCTAGGTAAAATTTATGTATTTCTTTCTGGAGAATCCAAATCTGCAATGAAAAATGGGGGTTCCCATTTAAGTTTTTTATCTTCCTCCACCCTCACCCCCAGATTTGGTATTATTGGTATTATTTCGAATTTGGTATTATTGAATGTCCACCTTTGCAACTTTCATTACCCACTTCTTCTAATCTGATGCATAATTCTCGAGATATTTCAATGTCTTCACATTAGGGGTGTGCCGGGATCCCGGTCGGGTCGGGAATTCCTCCCGGGATCGGGATGGAATCCCGAGAATTTCAAAGTCCCGAATACATCCGGGATTCCCGTGAATTTCCGGGATTCCGAAACCGTTCGGGATTCCCGAGAATTTCGAGATCCCGTAAATGTTCGGGATTCCCGGGAATTTCGAAATCCCGTACATTCGGATTGCTGAAATTTTCAAGAATAACAACACTTTCGGAAATCCCAGATATTATTCTATATCCCGTACATTGTCGGGAATCCCGAACATTTTCGAGATCCCCTACATTCTCGGGAATCCCGGATTTTTGCGGGATTCTCGTGTATTCTCGGGAATCCCGAATCAACTCGGGATCCCGCATAAACTCGAGAATCCCGAATATTCTCGGGTATCCCGGACATTTTACGGGAATCCCGCACACCCTTACTTCACATAAAATGACCACCCTGTATACCTCTTTCCTACCTTCAAATGGTTAGAAGTCCAAGACACGCAGCAAAGTTCTTAGAGCCGAACGAACAAGAATTCGCATAGTTTCGTCGAAACGTGTCGCTTACGGATGGTCCCTCGTCAGACAGAGCCTGTGGCGAAAGAGGAGTGCAGGATGTCGGAGCCAGATCCTGTCGAGGACTCGAAATGTTCAGGGAAGTCGCCGACGGAGAGACAACGGTCGACGGTCAGTCTAGTGGAGAATGAGGGTGCCAAGGTCACGCACGAGATCGTGGTGAACGTCAGTCCTAACAGGGAGGACGTTCTGAGGATCGAGGAGGACGAGAGCCAGGTCGAGGATCATTGGTCCTTGCCGGGGGACAACATCGGGTTCAAGGCGGACTGGAGCTTCGTTCAGCAATGGCGCCTGAGGGGGTAAATCGCGCTAATGTTGTTGCGTTTCGCCGTCTCGATGAAAAATTAGTGTTACAGAGCTTAGTCGGTGGCGCAGACATAAATTTAGCAACTGGAATTCCCAGCGAAAGATTAACGGAAAATTCGTCGCTGTTCTTTTCGATCCTTTGGCCGAATTAGCTAGTGTCATTAAACTCACGTAACGTTATAAGTCCAAGTACAGTTTAAATAAAACACATTCAGATTATCAAAAACCGATAAAAATAGAAGAGAATTTAGAAAAATTATTTGAAAAAATCCACAAGGATCAAGTGATTATATAGATCTGCTGGTCCAACTACAGTTTAAATAAAACACATTTAGATTCTCTAAAATTGTTAAAAACAGAGTAGAATTTAGAAAAATTATTTGAAACAGTCTACAGGAGTCAAGTGATTATATAGATCTGCTGGTCCAACTACAGTTTAAATAAAACACATTCAGATTCTCTAAAATCGATCAAAACAGAGTAGAATTTAGAAAAATTATTTGAAACAGTCTACAGGGGGTCAAGTGGAACAAGTTTCAATCGATCCACGGTTTACTATAAAATATTTAAAAAGTCTTCCAACTTTTCTGGTATTAGGTTGGGACGAAACGAATGTTCTCGCTTCTAATAGTCAAGATTACACCGAGAAAGAGAGCATGGGTTGCTCTTAGTGAGAAATAAAATAATTGTATATACATAAGGCAACAATATGATTAGTAAATTACAGGTTTTCGAGGCACCTCTGCAATCCGCTCCCAGATCATCTTAACCGGGTTACCACATGTTATCCTGTACAGAATAACCTGATTACATAAATTACTATTGTACAGGGTGGTCCACGTAAATGAGATCACCCAAATACCCCCATTAGTTATGTACACGAATGAACTCACAAAAAGTCAAGCAAAATAATAGAAAATACATTTTGGAAACCTAGATTGCGAACACGTGTTTGCAATTTCTCGAGTAGAGTAACTTATCGTTATCACTTCGGACAAGAAGCATCGCAACATTATTACGTAGCGAAGGAACGATAACGAGTATTGTTTGTAAACAGTTGAATACATCAGTAGTGTGTTGGGTCAGTTCGTCGAACATCTTATCAGCGACACAATAACCCTCAGATCTTGGAGAGAAGGTCGATGTACATTTTTGCATAAATGTATTTCTTTATTTTTAAGTGCTAAATTATCTCAGCACTTCAACCACCAATGTTTGTCGTTTAAACTTTTGGTGTGCCCGTTTGTAATGTGGTATTTTCGTTTGCTTTGCAGACCTGGCGGTGGCAATGGACGTGATCTATATTGTCCTCCATACTCGAAGGACTTCGCAGAGAGTTCACCGAAAAACGGTGTTCACAATATGGTTCACATGGTGGCTGAGAGAGATACAGACAGCGTGGCTCCAACGCCCACGCCTCAACATCCTCATCACTCTCAGCATCATCATCTCAGTTTGCACGAAATACGCGCGCTTCAGGTATCCACTTATTTTCCAATCTATAATTAAATTGTACATGTTAGTAATATCTATTTAAGCCTATTTGTTAAATGTTACCATACATATCGTTACCAAGGAACAATTGTCTTACTGGAGTTTGTTTCGAATGCTCCAATACTGTAACTCCGATGCTGAAAATGTTTATAAATTTTCCAGAGGCGACCAGAATGCACAGGCAACAGCTCTTCGGATGAGAATCGATCATCGGGGCACGCGAGCATGTCGGACACAGGTGGCCACACCAGCAGCAGTTCGCCACCCCATCGTCACCACAGGGCGCATAGTCCTCAGCAGCTGAACTCTGTGCCTGAAGACGATCGTCTATCGGCCTCCGTTACCCAGAGAAATGGCAGGAGCAGATCTGGCCAAAATCGCAATAGACACAGAGCCACGCCAGCCAAGGTGCCTTTTTCAAAACACAACCTAACCAGAACTTCGCTTTTCTAACTCGTAACGCGACGTTACTGATCGAAAACATTCAAGAACCTCCTCTGCGTTGGCAATTGTCAGTTTTTAATGGAAAACATTGATCGTAGTTGCAGGTGCCATGGTCGGGATCCGGTTTGGAAGACATCAAACTGGCGATCCAACAGCTCACGATGCGTTCCCATAAGTCATCGTCCACTTACTCCTCCTTGAGCGGCTCTGAGAGCTCGGAGCCTGCTGTAAGAAGACTGATGCGGCATTCCAGCTTGGAAACCATCAACACCAACGTGACCAGCGCCGATGAATTCGTCTGGGTGGACTCCCACAATAGACTGGTGGAGTTGCAGCAACTACCTTGGACGCACCACGACGTGCTTCGCGTGTTGCAGAATGGTCGTACCAGGGAGCACATGGACCAAGTCTCTATGGAGACTATACCTCGTTTATCTTACCTGCTGCAGAGGGCCTTGGTCAGAATCGGTCGTGAGACTCAGAGACTGGCCAAGCCCGTTGGTCTGTGCAGCAAACACGAGATCTACAGTGCATTTAAAATCGTCTTGTGCCCTGCCTTGGCTGATTCTTGCACCAAGGTACGTGGAGGATATGCGGTACAAGCTCTTTTCATACCATAGTACCTATAGAGCGTAGTTTCTATAGTATTTTTTATTGTTGTATCAATACAATGAAGTATAAATCTATTTTCACAAACTTTTTTTTTCTCTGAATCGTACATGTCTTGCTAGGATTCACTTGAAAGGTAACAACACGTACTTTTAACTAAGAAACATATAGATATCATGCAAATTTGATAACTGTATACAATGTAATTTAAATATAATTAGTTGTACAGTTACAACTTAATTTATAGTAAAAAAATTAATTATAAAATCAACGTGGAATGTCAATCGTGTTGTCAATCAGGTTGATGGCAATTTAATGATACACACAGGTGGAAATAAATGATCAACCATGCAGAGAGCTTCAAAAAAAAAAAAGAGAGAAAAAAACGTTATAGATCCTGTTTAGTTCATTCTACCAGTTATGAATTGAGTCTTTCAATAGCTATCTCGCTACCCTGTAAAACCGGTGTGAACATCCATCGAATTTCTTCCTTTTCTAGGCCTGCTTACGCGCCGCCGCGATGTTCGCTGTATCCGGCGACCAATTGAAGCAATCGAAAGCATCCCGATCGGGACTCCAATTACCAGTTGGACGATTTCTTCGTTGGATGTCCGACGTGCGATTAGGAAGAATGATACACGAATACGCCGCCATATATCTGACCGCGGGAATCGAGAATCTCTTGGAAGAAATACTGTTACAATGCATACCGACCGATCCCCACACAACTCTAACGGCGACTATGTTGGAGCACGCCATAGCAAATAGTGGAGATTTATGGGGGCTTCTACAGCCATACGCGCATCTTAATGCTGGACGAACGGCATCAGGTAGAGCTACCAGGGTGGCCCAGAAAATATACATGTTAATCACTTAATTTCCTGGTCATCTTTCAAGCATCAAGTAACGACATATAAAGCTACGTTGTCTTATAATTCAAATGTCTCCAGGTGCTCTTGCAATGCCTCGTTGGGCCAGCGTAAGTTCATTAAACTCGTCGTCGTCATCCCGAAGTGGAAGAGACGCAGCAAGCTCCGCGTTTGAACCGTCACTACTGACCACATGCGTAGGATCTATGTCGGAACTTTTGGATCTAATCTCGAAAGTAGTTCAAGCGGGACGCTCGCCCATACCTCTGACCGCCAAGGCGTTGAACGCGTTGTTTTATTACATGAGGTGTTCACAGGTGCAATAATCTCTATTCATACTCTAATTAATTCAATTGTAACATTTACAGGTTATGAGAATGACGTTAAAACAAGGAGCCGAAAGGAAAATAGATAATAATAAATAATATAACTTTGTTTAGCTGGAGCATGGCGAACGGGGTTCTGGGATACAAGAACTGGCGTACGAGCGAGCGTACGTTGTTCTTCCCCCTCTGGTTGAGTGGCTGCGTGTCGCGACTGCTCATGCAGAACATAGACACGGACTAGTCGTAGATCAAGACGATATTAATCAAGCTGCTAGATTGTTATTACCTGGGGTAGACTGTCCCGTTAGACCGATATGGTAATATACATCAAGAAGCTCTTCTAAAAAACATCAGAATACCTTTAGACCAGAATCATGTTTACTTCATTTACAAATCTAATCAAACTTCATCTACAGTTTCGAGGAGGTCGCGGTGTGCTCAAAACGCATAGACGATTCCGAGTACGTTCGTCTCCTCACTATGGATATGGCCTTCAAAATGTTGATCGGCGGACGCACTGATTTAATCGCTCAAGCTATACTCCTCTTGCCATCCACGAAGATCAACACTGTGAATGACAACGGCTTCACCGCTCTGATGATAGCTTGCATTAATGGCGATGAAACCGCTGTACTAGCTCTCCTAGATGCTGGCGCTGATTTAAACATTGAAAGTCCACCACCGCCAACTGGTCAGTCGGGGAACACCCCTTCCAAGGTTCCCTCAGTGCCGACTGTGTCGAACACCAGGAGTCCAGTCACTCAATCCTCGATTATGTCTTCTGGGAAGAACACTCAAACACTAAATTCCTCCTCTGGTTCGCCAGGCTCGTCTAGTAACGCTTCCAGCAATATATGCTGCAATCAAACTGGAATCAACGCGGAAACTCAACACTGGACTGCTTTAACTTACACCGCCTTGCTGGGTCACTGTAACATTGCCAGAATATTGTTAGAGAGAGGCGCCGCAGTCGAAGGTGGTGCTAAAGTCAGCGAAGACAAATGTACTGTCACGCCTTTACAAGCAGCCACTGCATCTGGCAATAACGAGATGGTGGCGCTCTTATTGGCTCATGGGGCACAGCCATTCTTATCTACCTTGATAAAGGACTCGTTTTCCTATTCTGGATCTGCTCAACGGGGGTGCTACAGGCAAGTATAATAGAATACTCTCTAATGTATGTATAAAATTACCTATTATTACAGTTTGAATAAAATTCTATTTGTAATCTATTCATTTCATACAGTGCGATATCAGTAGCAACGGCTCACGGTCAGCGGAGCTGTCTTCGTCAGTTACTGTCGCATCCGCTAAACTTCTCCGCGAAACGAGGAGAGAAAGAAGTCTTATCGTTGGAAGAGATCCTTGCTGAAGGCAGCGCAGGTACTAGTCCACAGCAACAAACTGTAGATGGAAGAGGAAATCGGAGAGAAGGCAAAGAACCAGTTTTCAACAAGGTGCAGACGAAAGCTTTGCAGGAAGCTATGTATCACAGCGCTGAGAGTAATCATTTAGGTAAGAGTAACAGTTATTTGTAACATTTTCAAGAGCCGTAAATTACTGAATTTTTTTCACAGATATCACAATGGAACTTCGCGGACTAAAGGTGGGCTGGACATTACATTGCTGGATGCACAGTCTGGCAACAGCCCATGAAATGAGACTAGACTCAGTGATAGATCAGTTGCTTCAAGATTTTCTTCAAGTGTGTCCAGATGACTATTCGACGCAATTTGTACAAGAATGTCTTCCTTTGTTATTCAATATCTTTAGGTACAGTAAGGTAGGCTACAGTTTAAATCAGTAACATCCCTACCTAACAAACTGAAAGCATTCCTTCTACCTATTATTAACTTCGTTGTCTGCACAGAAGGAAGGTACGACGCTTCTTCTTGCTGATATTTTCTGTACGTGCTTTGGATGGGAACCGATAAAACCCATCAGAGACACTACGCTCTCCAGTGGATCAAGGATCGATCCCAAATTTGTAAATAACCCGGAGTTGAGTGATGTACAATTTAGAGTAGAGGGCAGAGTGTTTTACGGCCATAAAATTGTGTTGGTCACGTCGTCTCCGAGATTTAGGAATATGTTAAGTTCGAAGTTGTGCGAGGGTAATCCCCCTATTGTACAGATTAATGATATTAGATACCACATTTTCCAGGTATGTAACCTTTTAGGACCTTCTTTGGCACTGTTGTAGATCATTTTCTCTTGTAAAACCATATTTCACTTTAATCTTCAGATGGTTATGGAATTTCTGTATCACGGTGGATGTGCTACATTGGAAGTGAATCAAAGTGATGTTTTGGAGTTGATGGCTGCCGCAAACTTCTTCCAGTTAGACGGTTTACTTAGGTATTGCGAAGCACAGTGTTCTTCTATGGTTGATCTCGACAACATTGTTTCAATGTACATTCATGCGAAGGTATTTTATTTATGTTTTGTTCGCCTCCAAGACGAAGGAACGATCTTTCTAACAAGAAAAAACTTTTAGGTTTACAATGCAACGCAGCTTTTGGAATACTGTCAAGGATTCCTGCTACAAAACATGGTCGCGTTGCTGACCTACGATGACTCAGTCAAGCGTTTACTATTTGCAAAGAAACTGCCTAATCATGATGTTCTTGCAGGCCTCCTTCTGACTTTGCAAGCACGAATAAAGGCTAGACGATCTCAACAACAAAATAAAATGAAAACTTAGATATTTAATAAGCATCATACGCAACGTAAGGATATTGTCGCGATATCATTTTTTTACTTTCATCGAGTGTAATTGTCAATATATTTACGTACACTTACATGACGTCATTTACGCGAAAGAAAAATACGTAAATCAATTAAGACTGAATGTTCGATGATCTATCTTTAACTTAACTTCAGTATAAATTCCTTTTAACTCGTAATTATCTGCGGTTTTAATAGGACTTAAAAGTGATGCTTTGACATGTATGAAATACGCATTTGCTTTACCTCTGTTATATAGTATTTTCATTTTTACTGATTTTTCATAAGCTATAAAGTATGGTACATAAGTGCATATGAAACTATGGTTAAACTATACAAGTTCATATTTTACTGTTGTAAATGAGTCTCGAGCGTACATAATAATTAAGAAATTTAATTTTTAAAAACGAAAGCTTGCCAGACATCTTAAAGTAATTTTTAAGTAATTGTGTAAATACAAAATTTATATTAATTAACATAATATACACAGGCATGGTACGTGCTATATGGATATTAAACTCCTTACAATAGGAAACCATTAATATATACGAACAAGTGAACATACATTTTGTATATAAAACAGACCAAGCAGTTTACGCACAATGCAAAGAAGACAATACAAAATATTGATGTGTTCTCGTGTACTAATAATACAATATACTTTGTATATCACGATTGCAATAAATTATAAATATTGTGATAATACAAATTTTAAACGACAATTGTTTTACATCTCGAAGCTTAATAAAACTGTTTATCTCTTTTATCAATCTTCATCTTGCATATGGATGAGAGTAAAAACGAAAAATTCATGCAAAGCGAAATTATTACTTATGTATATCGCTCAATAATTGCCAAGTTCTGATACAACACACTGCTCTTTTTATTTTCTTATGATTCAAATAAATTAAGCTTATGTTTCACGTAATAAAGTTATACAAACAATGTGACGCATTACAAAAAAAAAAGAAGAAATAAAACATAATTGATAATGCTTACATACTAATTCACCACGTTACAGTTCGTTATTACAACAAAACTGTCGCAATCGAAATCCGCGGTACGTTTAACAGCGTAACAATGTTAGTATTATATATATAATATGATTTATTTAGAATGTCAATGGTTAGTTGTATATACAATATTCAAGTTGTAACCTTAATGATAATGTAATCACTGGACTTTTTAGATTTTGGAATGCCTAATAATCATTATAAGAGTTAAATCGATCCTCAGAAAACGGCTGTCTCAATCTCACAATTATCTGTAGCATATCTCTTGTTATTAACGTTTGTAAACATCAGTAGATATATAGGCAATCCATAATAAACGACATAGCTCTTACGAAAAATAATTATAGAAATTATATTCACACTCGGTTAATTCAATTATGCTTTACCTGTATAAATCTGTAGCAAAAATGTAAGTTTCAAGATAATTTCGTTAAAACGTTATCGTATCCCATGACGTAAATAATAAAATTCATTTGCTCAATACTTGTGTTCGCATAGAAGCAAGAAAAGTGAAGTTTCAAACACACAAAGTGTAAATTATTCTATTATTCGTAAACATTGTGTATTTTACATTAGAAATTCAATATGAAAGAGTGAAGATGCTCCACTTTAAATAATTAATGATAAAAATAAAGAAAGCTGTGTAATGGATTCAAGTATTAGGATTAATTTACGAATTTTAATATTTTCGAAGTGAAAAACAATAAATAACAATATTTATGCATCGTTATAAGATTATTTATACAACTCATACAAATTTATATACAAAATTAAATAAGAGAAATAACATAGTACATAATATTAAGCAATATTGTATGTTTGCTTTGAAACAATATCATGCAATGAAATTTAAAATACTGAAATATTCAATTAGTATAATATACAATAATTTGTAACTACAGCTTTACAAGTTACGCTTATCTATTTGATACGAGTTGAGCAAAACCTGTGGGTAACATTTGTATCGATAATACATATAATACATACAACAGAAAATCAGTGTTACATGCAATTGGGTAAAGAACAAGTGAAAAATACAGTTCGTTCAACATGTTTTGCCCATAAAATACTAATCATTTAGTCGATTAATTTAGTGCCACATCGTTTAGTCTATATATTTCTGAGGTATGATATTCTGAAAATGATATTCCTACAAATGATTTTCTCCAGTCATTCGTATTTCCTTAACTTAATACATTGAAATACTACACAAAGACTTTTGAACAAATTTAAACTTCCCAGAGCAAACAATTTAATAAAATCGCTCTTCAAAATTAATAACTGCAGTTCACTGTCTCACAGTGAGAAATATTTTAAGTTATAGCGTAGCTGGTCGGTAAAAAGTACATAATTTTAACATGGATTTTCAGCAAACATATATACGTTGCCATAGAATTTGAAGTTTTAAAATAACATTAACAGTTTCCGTTTAAACTCCATTATTTTCTTAAAATGGCCGTTGTATTTGTAATGCTGTACAATTTATTGAAAAAATAATATATATAATACAATTAAAGTGATGCGTTCAAATTTCCCGTGAAAGATTACCCTCCGAGTATAACGAAAGTGACAATGATTGCTATACATTATTCAAAACTCTACTAATCGTATCTCAAAACGAAAATAAACATTTATTTATACCACTAATACAAAGCAGCTTTAACGAATAATGTAGACATCTACATATACACTTGTTATATTTCATTTTAATCTAAATTTATTAATTTAGATCATTAGGAAATAAAAGTTAAAGAAGAAGATAGATATGCGATGAGAACAGTGTAAAATGTTCCAAGAGTTTTACAAGTGAACAAGAATAATACATTCAGACCATGTGTCGATTTACAAACAAATATAAAATAAGTCTATCCTCTCCCCATATTGCGTATCCAATATAGAAACTGGTAAAATTATATTTTTTTCGTTATTTCTACAATCGATATAAGATAGATTGAGACAACCCTTTTCATTTGTTCGTGATGTCTACGATGATTAGGAGCGTTAACTTAGTTTAGTGACTAGAATAATAACTAATATACCAACGACTATAATCGCGAATAACAACAGAATAAAAACTTTTCGCTGATATTTACGTCGATAATTACTTCCCTTAATTAACTCTTGTACCCCCAGCTCGACATTTCCGTGTACACTTTCTATGTGGTTGTCTATCGTGTCTGCAATACCATGGAGTTATAAGAATACAAAACACCTCTCTAATATTTTTACTAAAGGAAGACAAAGTTGCTTACCAATCGTTTCATCTTGTTGGTGCACCAATGCCGCGAGTTCGCGCATTATTTGATTCACATCCAAAATATTCCCTTCAATCTTTTTTATCCTATCTTCCCTCTCTAACAGTAATCCTTGTTGAAACTCAAGACTCCTTTGGGTTGCACTGTGATCACTTTCTTCAATTTGTAGAAGACGTTCCTGTTCCTCATCATCCACATCCATAGAATGCTCTATACTAGTTGTACGCAAAATATGTTTCTTCATCTTATCCGCAATAGACTATAAACAATATCATGAAGTCATTTGAGTATAAACGTTATCCAATGTACTACCAAGTAAAGTGTTAGATACCTTCTGCATGTCTGAGTATCTTTGCACGGTGTCTTTAAAATTGGTGGTGAGTTTTTCAATTTGCAACTTCTGGTGTTTATCCCCTCTCCTCATTAACACTGTCAGTCTCGCAATATCTTTGCTCGTTTGACTTACTACTTGATTTGTGCTTAACTGCATTACATGCCTAATTAACCAATAAGCAATATAAATATAAATGCATACAGTGTTTATTAATACAATGTTAATTACTATGTTAAATACTTACACCTGATCCCTTAGACCCTGATTATCTTTATTGGTTCCAATATTTTTGTATGCATGCTCGAGGGATTTCCAACTAGTATTAATTGTATATATGTTAGTCGTAATATTCTCGCTGAGACTATAAAGTTCAGTAGGGCTAAATCCCACATCAGGTACATCCGTGCGTTGATCCGTGGACCCATATGTTTGAGAACTGTGAGCCATTCTAGAAGCACATACAATTTTTATTAAAATCCTTTATTGCATTATAACATTAATTTTGCTCATATCGAAGTTGTCATTTCTTGTATGCAGTAGAAGATAATACTTGCTTTATGATTCTACATGCACGTAACAAACAAGTATTAAGCTGAAGATTAGAAATTCATTTTTAACCGACTTCGAAAAGGAGGAGGTCATTCGATTCGACGTGTATATATATTTTTTTTTTCATTAAAATCCATATCATGTAGTTATACTACTACTTCCTCTATCGATAATTATGCGAATAATTTAGATTAAATTTTTTGTTCTGTGCAAGCTTCAAAAAGAACACTAAAAAAGGTATTAGTATTCTCGAATGAGGATTAGATGATTATATACCCAATATCGTGTATATTTCTTTTGCCGTATACAATTTAAATTCGTATGCGTTGTTATTAAGACGTCTACAAAATTGGGTTTTGAAACGTTGTTAATCGATATAAATGTATAACAACTAAATTAACGTTAGCTGAAATGTGCCCTATACGATTTTGTCTGTATACTCGAAACAGATAAAATTAATGGAGATGATTACGCATAAATGGATAATAAGAGTCGTCGTTCGTGTAACTGACCTGATTCGTTTTATCACAAGTAGTCTTAATATCTAGATAGAAATTGCTTTCGTTATTTCACATTTAAAAGTCGAGAGAACTATTTTTACGTATCGAATTTTAGAAACTGACAGTTGCCTAAACGATCTACTCCACCGTCCATGTGACAATAGTTCCTTTGGGTGCTTTCCAATTGCCTAACGCATCTTGACACATGTATACACAGGATGCACAAAGTGTAACGTTGTGCACGACTCAATTCGAACAAAGTAATGGGTGCATTCAGTGGACAACTGATCACTGATCATGATCCATATTACTAGAAATCACTAGATTCACCAGTGGTGGCGGACCTTACTGACAATGAGCGATATGGCGAACGATCAGAGAAACGGCGAAGAAGACTATCTGATAGATACATAACACAAGTGACACTGTTTAAATTCGTTTAAATATTGGCGCCGATCCACAACCTCTGTAATATGAATCGTATCCTAATTGCCGATGCGGAGCATCGGGATTGTCGATCGGCAACAAGATTTAAACGAATTTAAATAGCGATTTAGATTTACAATTAGAACAGTCCTAGTGATTTTATTAAAATAAGGTATATATTTGTTTTCTAAAAAGTTATTTATCAGGTTTTGACTGTCGTTATCTAATTGTAAAATGTCAATATTGAAATCATCTAGTATACAGTGATGGTGGTTTCTCGTGATTAGATCAGTGATCGTGAGCACCAAAGTTTCGCTTCTGTAAGAGTAAGTACTCTGCGAATATAAATTTGAACAATTTTTTGGCGCAGGAATAGAATAGAGATAGAGAATTCTGAAATAAATAACAAAGAACATTATAGTACTGTTTATTATATAATTTTAAGAAGTTGTATCTAGTTTCATGGTTTATGAAAATATCATGAATATATATAAATCTATACAATTTCTATATCCCTGTGATTTAGATGAAATATTGTACGTTATTTTGCGTTTTATTTATTCTATCAGCTTTTGTAATACTTCTACTTCAAACTTACGCGTTTTCTCACCGATGGCGCCACTGTAGTTCTGCACTGGCAACTAAAGGCTAACAAAGTTGCAAATCAAAAATATGCCTTTTAGAGATAAGAAATAGGATCATATAGCACCTAATGTAATACCAGTCTTACATTTGCTTATTCTTCACTTACGTTACTTTGTGTTTACATTTGTTCACATACCCCTTTTCATAATTCCCTTGGCATTCTCATTAGGGATGCCAGTAGTTTGTTGCCCTCCTATAGCTCGGGGACCTTTTAATTTGAACTTCTGGAGGAAATCTTCGCAGATTCTCGATATTAAATTACAATGTTGACATTGTTGATGAAAGTATATTTGTATTTTAAATTACAGTAAATTGTAATTCTGTATTGAGTTTATATCGGTAATTTTTGAATGCCAACCAGTTTATTTGAAAATAAAATGAAAATAAAGCATACGTTTAGTTGATCCTATACAATAATCAAAAGATATTATGAGAAAAATGGTTTATCTGAATATTACTATACGGGGAAGAGAAAACTGTTTTCGTAGTTTGTTGTGATTATCTCTTTTATCATTTGCAGGTTACCCTTTTATTATTTGTTATTTTTGAAATAGTAGATATCACAATAAAAAACACCCATCTTTGTTTGTTCGTTTATTTCGACATTTCAAGATGTATGGACAATTATTACATAATAATTATATATATTTATATATGTATAATGAGAGAGCATTCTCCTCTCACAGCGTTCCCGTTCTCATTCCCCGAAAATCCCCCTGACCCCCATCGTTCACCCCCCCCTCTCTCTCTTTCTCTCTCGCTGTGTGTGTGTGTGTTTTTTTTACGATAAAAGAATGAAAAGGTAAAAGTAAGAAAGAAACGGCGTTGATTCGTCAAGTCTATGAATGAATTTACGAAACGATTTGGTTTTGGGCGCATTATTTATCATTAATCACAAAGACTGTGAAATCTTTCCAATTGTTTTTTTCCATCCACGTCCCTTATTATCATTTAGCGTTTATCGATAAGATTATGATCGTTACCATTAATCGTTACAATTACGATAATAACACTAATGTTAGTTACTCCCGTACCTTTCCCGCCAACCCTTCTACCTCCACCACGCGGCCACCTACCCCCACCCAGGAACTCTGACGCCACATTCAAATCGCGAATTACAATTTTGGCATACAATCGGAAAGTATGGCTGCCAAACCATTACTCCCTCCTCCACAAAAGGTGGATAGCTATTTTTCATTCTACTTTTTCATTCCTCATTCCATTTCTAGAATTTCCTCTTTTTCGTCGTACATTTTGTTTCCTTTCTCTTTCTCTCTGCTGGATCTCTCTCTCTCTCTCTCTCTCTCTCTCTCTCTCTCTCTCTCTCTCTCACTCCCCTCTCCCTCATACACACAACATTCGTTTCGTACTCCACATTTCCCATACATAAGAATTTTGTCCTCGTGAAAAATAATTTTCGTTCATTACTTCGCTTCTTTCTCTTTTATTAACAATCTTTCCACCGTGTTGCGCATTAATGTTTGTCTGTTGTTTCGTATAGTTCTTTTTTCTCTTTCGTTTGCAACTCGAGAACCGCAAACCGCTGGTAATACATTCTCTCTTCGATATGTAATTTTGTAACATATCTTTTCACAGTGACTCCTGAACGCAAATTGAAAGTCTATGTTTTTCTCTAAAGTATTTCCATGGCATTCAGAGTCGAGAGCGTCGATCGAATTAGTTAAAAATTTAAAGTCGATATTTCGTGGGTCGTTGGTACAATAAATATCAATAAAAACGTGTGCAGAACAGCAAAATAGTTTCGTCGATCTCATGCAAAGTAATGGTTTGAACACGGACATAGGAATATAGGGAACGGGCATAGCAAAACCCGGAGTGAAGCCATGTCCGTCATATTACATTGCCATTACGAATCCATGGGACTGGTAGACATCTGTATAGAGTCTAGTCTATGGCCAAACGCGCATCCCTCATTCCCCGATTTCCGACAAGAAACTCATTCATTTATTGTTAGAAGCAGTTTCCAGAGTAGTCCAGAGTAATCGCGAACGAAAGTTATTGCATCTGTGAAAAAACAGTTATCTTTTGAAAATGCCTACGTGTCCCGTTAAATATTATCATTTTTATTTTGAAAACAAACGTGACATAGGAAAAGTGCAACAATCAAAATATAACATTCCACATGTAAGTGAACAAGATAGTATACTATAGTTACGCATATCTGAATCTCATTAATTACAAATTAATAACCAGAATACAACGATTAAATATTTCATTATTTATTTTTGTTACTTTGTTTTGTTTTGTTTAGATATTCAGCGTTAAAATTTGTTTAATTTATTTTCAAACATATAACCACATTTTCAACCAGAGATGGGCAAAACCCTAGACTTCGAATAAATCTAAAGTTTGCCGATACGTTTGTCTCGTTTTCTCTTTTGAACATTTTACAAAGAAGGAAACGAGACAAACACATCGACAAACTTCAAATTTATTCGAAGCCTAGGATTTTGCCCATCTCTGTTTTCAACTATAGTAATATTTAAACTTCCCGCTGTAAATTGGCAATGTAAGATGGCCGACCTTTACCACCACGTCCTTTGCCATCTATGCTATCCCTATATTCCTATGTCCGTAGGTTTAAATAACGAAGTTGCACAAAACCATAGGCTTCGAATAAACTTGAAGTTTGTCGATATGTCTCTCGTTTCCTTTCGAAAATATTGAAAAGAGAAAACGAATGTCGTCAAATTTCAGGTTTATTCGTAAGATTTTGTCCAAACTCTGTCGGATAACATATTCTGCAGAATTTGAAAGATCTCACAGCGTTTACTGAAAAATCCCTGAATTTCACATTTAACGAAAAGAAATGACGAAAATAATTTTCGTACAAAATCTAAAGCAGTCAAAGAAGAAAGAAAAATGTCCAAATAATTATACAAATAATTTCGAAACGGGAATTTCTAAATTATTAGTAAAAAGAAAGTCCTGAAAGTGGCTCCCGATAAAATTCATTTTCCTTTCTTGCGACCCTAGAAGCACTCTCAAGAAAGCTTGGAAAAAATTCAGGTTAAAGATGATCGATTATTACTTTCGAAGAATCTGATCGGGGAAAAACAGATTTGAAAAAAATTACGATGTGAATTTAAATTTTCAAAATACGACCACTGCTAAACTAGAAAAATTCAAATACAATTTGATTCGTTCCACTTATCTTAAGTAATTACGATTTATCGTAACTCAATGGAATACAATTTCTGGTTCGAAATTACACTTACAAAAAATTACTTTAAAATTGATTGAAAACGGTGCAAAATAGTCGAGGTACAACGATCGAGTAACGAGGCTATAGTCTGACTGGCGAAAGAGTCGATCCGTTATGATTGCTTAGATACTCATTGGTCAGCCGTTAGTCGGTGAAAGTAGTGATGGTGTCGAGTGTATCGCACGTACATTTGTTTTTAAAAATAAAAAAAAAACTTACTGATAATCGTGAATATATATTGAACTTGACCTCAACGCTAAAGTAAAAACTTTTTGTAAACGATCATCGATATATTAAGTGTAGAAATTAATTTTGTGCCTTTATATTCAATCATTTGTAACTCCAGGTTGAGTAGAAATATTTAATCGACAATTTGTTGAAACTTTTCTCCATTACAATGAATCTATGCATGTATTGCATAATCTGAGTAAACTTTTTTTTTTCTCTTGGGAAATGTATTGTGCATACCTCGGCGTCCCGGTGGGGGGGAATCCGAGATTATACGGGACTACTAAAACCCCACACGCGCCTAAGATACTTGGGAAGTGCCTGGATCTTGCGAGTATTCAACAGGACACATCCCAGCAACCTAAACCTTAACTTGCTGACCATTACAACGTACGTATATGTAAATACGAATATTGGTAGCCATACTCTTGCTTATTATTATTAATAATTAGTCATCAGGTCGAGACTTAGGTTATTTACATAGATTCTATACTATAGATACATTGTAATAGACATCAGGTTAAGTTGTATATCTGTTTAAACTAGAACAATAAATTATTGAATACAGAGGCATAGAATTAGTTTCTACACTTAATAAAATATTATTCATTATTTGTTACTTTTTTTTTTGTTATATTGTTTGTTATATTCTTTAACATCGTTTACTATTTGAAATAACGACAACGAGAATGAAATAGTCTAGCATTCTAACGATTAAGTATCTATAACATTTAATGTTATCATATTTATTTTGGTATTGTCTCTTCAAACATTATGCAACGTAATCTAGAAAGATTATCCAAAAAAGTTACACATTGTATTTTTTTTTATTGGATTACAAATAAAATATACATTACTTGTAAATAACAAATAATAAATAGCTTAATTCAAATTTATTTTATCGTCAATCAATGATATATAAATAGGTAAATAGATATGTAGATAATATATAAAATATTAATAAGTAGTAATAATAATAACGATAATTACACTAATAATGAATATTATTAACGAAATGCAAGGAGCGTATGGGCTCTTCTAAGTCGATTAATTCGTCGGTCGGACTATAGGTTGATTTGAAATCTTTTCACCGTTACTTCCTGATCTTTTCAAATCGCGAAGAATTTCAACATTTTTTCATTCAACGCTGTCACAATTGTTCAACTATTCGTTCGAATTCGAATTTACATCGCAATTTCACTAAATAAAAATCATCGACTAATAATGAAATATACTATCATCCTAGAATGTTCTTTTTGGATTGAACGCTTTAAATGAAACAATTGCTTATTACCATTCAAAATACTTTAGCTTACCGGCTAAATATTAATACGCTATAAATAGAAAACTCTTTTTCTTCTTCCTTTTTTTTTTTATATACTATCGACTATATAAGTGCGATTTATTTGGTGTATTTCAATTAGCGACCAGATCGAATTCAATTAATATTCAAATAAAGATTTTTCATCGCCGAAAGTCAAACCAATCTCTTCCCCGATCGTATTTGCACGAGGCTAGTACGTTTTCCTAACTTGACTAGAAATTCTATATGTGTACTTATTTATACATAATTATAGCTACTACATATAGGAATACTTAATTAATTAATTAATTAATCCATAACTTCTCAAATTTATATATATGTATATATATATTAATTTTATAGTAATATGGCAACGGCGGTGACAGTAATACTATTTTTTTTATCCCTAGATCCAACTAACGATATAAAAATAATTCTCAAAATCGACGTAAAAATGGAAACGAAATTCGAAATCAAAATGAATAAGAATGTACTTTTTTGGTACTCATAGTCGAAGGAAAAGTAACAGCTATTTTTGGCCTTTCCTTTACGAGTAATTCGGATTATCGTAAATTTCGAGAATACTTCTTTTGTTACATCGTAATTATTGTTCTACTCGGTTTTTTGGTTCTTTTTGGTCAAACACTCCTCTCGGTTATCAATTAAATTACAATTAAATAGCGTGGAGTTGCAACTGCAATTTTTTTTTCTTCTAAATCAATTATTCTAAAATTGATGTAAGTAGCTTAAATATCAGAAAATTATTTAAAAAAATTATGTAGAATTGTACACCAATATTCTTTGCAGATTTATCACTTAAAAAGCATTGAAACACTTTTAGACAGCATCATCGTAAAAAAATTAAAGAAAAATGTCATAGGTTCTGTAGCCAAACTTTCAACTAAAAGTATCACGAAATATATTCTATTATAGTTTTTGCGACGTCGAAATAGAAAACGAGTCGCTCGATCGAAGAATTTGTTAAAATATTTTCGGGATGATGTTTGCAGCTGCAATTTGCATTAATTAAATATTAAATAAATAGAAAGACATAAAAAAACAAAAAAAGAACGGAAGAGCACTGCATTTGTACGTGGAATGTTTCATTCGTGGTTGTTCGACTGGTGGTTTTTTCGAGCCAATAAAAATTTATCTGACGAAGAAAAAACCTCGAATCGGCAATTAACATAACTTACTATTTTTTTAACTCGAAGTAAACAAACATAGTTTGCAAAGAAACCGTTGATATTATTTTAGATTTGTTGGGAACATAAATATAATAAATTGTAAAGAGAAACTTAATTGTTCTAAATTCAGAAATTCAAGGATCCGCAACTGTTTCCTAGTTCACTTGATGGAATTGGTTTTTTTTCTTTTTAACCTCTTGCGCTGGCAACTGTTTCGCGATATATTTTTGCTAATGATATAGCTCCAATGATATAAAATTGCTTACATTCTCAGATAGTTTCTTTTTATTTGTCGTTTTTAGCATGTACTTTGTGCCTTCTTTGAGGACTTCTTTATTCATTTTTGTGGGTGGAATAGTTTTTGAAAAATGTGTTGACTACTTTTCAGCGCAAGAGATTAACGATACAAAGACATTGTATTTTTTTGAAAATATTTATGTGCGTTCGAGTATGTAACTGTGCAGAAATGTGCGTGAATTTGTGTAAATGTGCGTACCGATGAAACAAGATGACTTTAAAATCAGTTTCCAAAGTACCAAAATGCCAAATAAAGATAAATCTTTCGAAGAACGTGAAACAATTTCTATTTCCAATTTTTCGACTCTTGTATCCTTCGAATTTCTCCATTCGGAATTACTTGAATTATTAAGATCATCCGAATTGCCTAGAGAACCTCGAAAACCTTAATCTGAAACTTCAAATTCATAAAAAGTATCGGAAAACTGAAAAACTTTCAGAATTATCAACTTTTTCTCTCGTGTTACTAATTTCGATATTTCCATGCGTCTATATGTTTCAATTTTTTAAATTGTTTCACGTTTTCAGCTACTCGCTGCATCGACCAACAAAATCTTGAAACGTGTACATTGGCAAATCGTTGAGCATTCTTGTAGTTCATAGTGTTTTGATCGTTGATCATTCGATCTTTTATCTTTCTGATTCAGTCTTCCGATCCAAAATAACCAATCAAGAACTTAACATTACTGCGTCACTGTTAAGACGTCTTACAAGCTTGATCGACGTTTAAAAAATTGCAAAGCATGTATAATTGCTCGTCGATTTATTGTGCGCGGCTTGTGCGATCGACAATAAACGTAAGCATACTCTTCGAATTAAAGCTAAAACGTTGAATGATAGTTGTACGGTACATAAGGAAAAGGAAAACCGTATTTTACATTACAAACCGTTCAGACTCTTCCAGGTAGAAAATTGATAAAACTTGTACTCGTAACGTTGTAGAATAAATAAGAAACAATTTTTTCTAATACCATATTTTCCTTGTACCCAAGTATGCTAATAATGTTAGTTTTATTCCTGAAACTTTTATAAACATTGAAGCATACCGAGGATACTTTTTGAAGTTTCACAATCTTCTACCTAGGTCGAGTTACGTATTACAGATGTCGGTGACTCGCTTGCTAATTTACAATAAAATAAGGATAATGGATCTCGAGATCCGAGTGTGCTTCGTGATTGGTCTTTGTGCCATACGTCGCGAAATCCATAAAAAATCTGGATTAATCATCGGTGGATCTCCTTTCGATTTTTCTCTTGAATGCCAAGCCATGCAGGATCAAACTGTTATCTTTGCGCGTGATCTTCTCATTCTTCGTTCAGTCGAAAAAGTTTTAAAACAGACCATACATTTTTGGTTTGTCGAGTCTCGAATGATTATGAATACGAGGAAGGTCACGCATCCAATTAAAATATTTGATCAGCTTCGAACGAGCAATTAACTACATCAAAGTCTCCGATTATACCTAACTCTTCATATCGAAAACTATCGATCTTACATTAGTTTCTTTGGTACTGAATTTTCACAATCAACCAAAAAATCAATTCCTCCTAATCATGATAGTGAACGGCTTCTTCACTCTTACAGTTCACAGATAATCTACTCGTTTGAGTCATGCAAGCTAATCAGAAACGAAAGTAACAAGTTTGATCCCCTGCAGTTTATGTCGAAAGTTTTCGATCATAACGCAGTTATTAAGTGTCTCTTCATTGGTACATGTATTTTAGAAATGCATTCGGCACTTAAAAACACAAGTACAATGTACTTAAATCTTATTTTTGAGTTGAAAACATCTATGTCCACCTATACTTCCGACACAACGAGCCTATCATAACTGGTTACATTGAATTGATTACAACTACACTCAAGTTTGTTTGATTTACGTAATTTAATTTAAAGTACACAGTTGGAGATCAATGAAGTACTCTCCAACTTGTCAGAAACTGTGATAACTCCAAAATAAGGCTGACAGCCCTTCAATTGTTTTGATGATTGAAACTCAGAATCGATCAGATGTTTCCAGTTGCATTTTTTAATGTCTACAATTAAAGATCAATTAGCCACCTATAATCTTGCATCAATGCGAAGGATGAGTATTGTACTCGATGTTCTGTTTTTGATCTTAATTGACATCAATCAATATGGATCATTAGACCATACAATTAAGATCAGGGTTGGCTCGTCTGCAAATGTGGTTCATTCACAAGGTGGTAAATTTATCTATGCTAAATTTATCCAATTTATCCATTATTGGCAAATTATTTACTTTAAAAATTAAGTAAGAATTTTGTGATAATAAAAGTCTGCATAACTTGTTTATGCAAGGATGTCTCATATTCACACTGTGGCCCTAATTGGATCACATAATTCTAGATGAGAAACATCAATTCTGTCTAGATTTTATGGAAATTCCTAAAGAGGGATTGGCAGCATTTGATGCAAAGACAAACAGATCCAATTTGACTCGATGTTAATTTACCCGACAAAATGACCTTACATAATTTAACAGTTCTTAAACCCCAGTTCATGATAATTCATAGTTAACAGTTGCACATGCTAAGCATTTTTAAAGGGATATCGAAACACAAAAGTAGCTACAGCTTGAAAACAAGATATAATGCTGTAAAACCTCTTTTCAATCAAATCTTCATTACGAATAGCTGAAATGAAGCTACCCTCAACTCTGTTCATATTTCTCAGTTAAATATATCAGTTGTGCATCCATTTTATCTTTACCTCATAACATGTTTCTATTAAAATCTCGTAATTACCATCTAAAACTAAATTTTCTTGGGTTGTCACTAAAAGGGTTAATATCTCAGGTAACCGATTAGGTTAGAGATTAATGAGGTTGTACCCCACACACTCTCCTCTTTGGTCCATTTAAGCTGACGCCAGTTCCGAGAAAAACTTCTCGCTCTCACCTCCGTTCGTGAAATCTGCCGATGACGGATTTGTTTTCAATAAAAGAGGCAGTACCGCGCCGATGCGTTTACAGCGCTGCTTTTAAATACCGAATCCATTTCCAGACTTGGTTAAGTTTGCCGCCGATGAAGCACCTCGTAAATTCTTTGCAGTAGTTTACCGCATGAGAAGAGAAAATCGAAAGGGATAGCACGAAAGGGTTCTTGTTAAAAATGAAAATCGAGAAGGTATCCGCAGGTGGCCGGTAGTAGTAGCGGTGGTACTTACTTAGGTATCTCTCCTTTTTCTCTCCCCCTCTATCACTCGCTCTCTTTCTCACCAGCTGTCAGTCTCTCACTCTCTCATTCTCACACGCTCCCTCGTTCTCGCAATACATGTCTGTGTTTATGTGTGTGATTGTGAGTGTATGTCGGTCGATCGGTTCCACGACGGGAATATTTATCCTAATAGAGACCGCAGCCACGGAGATTATTGGCGATAATGACATCTGTGACTGCGTCGAACACGAACTGAATGTTGTTTGTATCAGTGGCGCAAGTCATGTGGCAGTAGATCTCCTTAGTTGTTGACTTGTTCTTCGCCTCGAATTGCGCCTGGATGTACGCGGCGGCCTCTCCGTACTCTTGCGCCCCTGTCGTTAACAATAAGAACATTGGTTATTCGTGTCGGATGTGTGGCAGCCCCCAGGGGTTGTAACGGTGTTTGTATGTAGCTACAGTACAGGCTTAGCAACCCCTAGGTACCCGAGTTAGAAGGGGTACCAGCGGGCGCCAATAGATGAGAAGTAAGAGATACTACAAACAGTATTACAGCAATGCAGGAGTCATACATATAAGACCATGATAAGAATCAATGTGATGTAAATTAGATGTAAGCAGTAGTGAAATAACTTCATAAATATAAAAAGTTACTCACTTTAATAAAGAAATTGAATTGAATCGAATTGATGTGTGGCACATACAAAAATTACAGCGAGTGACTTTAATATTCAAATTATTCATCACTGAATAGGATAGAATAACATATCCTTTCTCTTCTGTATTATCCTCAAATACTGTATTGCATTTGTTGACTTTCAGATGTTTCTATGGAAGCGCACAGGAATGTGAACTTAAGGTGCAAGCCCGATTCAGAATGTTGAAATGAGGCGTTTTTTTATATTAAGAGGATCTTTATGAAACTTGCAGGGCCTTAAACTGGATAATTGGTGATAACAAATAATATTTTTCAATACAAAATTGTCCGTGGAAAGCCGTGTATATGCATAACATAAGCCATGTCATCAACCGGGTTGCACCCTTAAAGTAGTTTAACAATAAGTTAAACTTACAAGGTAACATATTCAATGGACACATGCCAATTTTGATCAAATTTATGTCGGAGCTAGTTCTCAAACAAATATTTGACACATATTTTTTTTTAAATAACTTGAAAACCAAAGGAGCTAGGACAAAATTTTTTTTTAAATTATGCTTATGTTTTTGAGTGGGTAATTTACTTGTGCCAGAAATTTGGCGATAAAAAAAAAATGCATGTCAAATATTTTGTTGAGAACTACCTCCCATATAAATTTGATCAAAATCAGCGTGTGCCCATTGGATATGTTCCCTTGTTAGGTTTTTTCTAAAATGGAATTATATATTTTCGTTATATTTTGATAGAAGGTAAAATGACAAATTCAATTATTAACAAAATAATCAACGTGTACAATTTCAGTAATTGAATTATCATATTCATTAGAACACTGTGCTCTAATAAAACAATAAATAACAGTATAACGCTGGGAGATAATTAGATATTAAAATGAGTTCGTACAGTAGGAAGCATTCAGGTGGAACAACCTTGATTGAATTTGTCCGTATTTGACTTTAACGCTGGTGACAATTTGAAATAAAGTTTAATTCGTCATGCGAATAAATTCGTAATTTTGATTATTAAACTGAAAATTATTTTGAAAAAAAAAAAGAAACAGACAATGAAACAGTACGAACTGACTAGTGTTTTAAAATGCAAGAACTGTACTATCTACTTAAATTGTGGCTCTTTTGATTATCGTTTTCTTTACGTTGTTTCTCAAAACAATGTAACCGAATAACTATGATCATTTCTTCCTTTTTGTCTCTTTTGCAGGAAAATACAATTTGCGAAATAAAGAAGTACAATCTTACCGGCATACTCAACGAAGCAAATGGTGAGCGGTGACTTGCGAATTTTCTCTTCGAAGAGATCCTTCTTGTTCAAGAATAGGATAATTGAGGTATCGGTGAACCATTTGTTATTGCAAATTGAGTCGAACAGCTTCAAGCTCTCCTGCATTCGATTCTTTGAAAAGATAACGATTTTTTATTAGTATAAACAATTGTAATCATCGCAGAACGAATGCGTTATAAACATTCTGGCGACTATGTATTTATACAATACACCCTGAACAAAATCAGTCGAAACGAATGATCGGTAAAAAGAAAATTGTACGTAGATTTTGATTCTTATGTTTTTCTGCAATAATTTATATGAAATAGGAAATCAAGCTTCTACATTAATAGCTAATTAAACTATTTTTATGATTCATTATACGTAATTAGTCGGAGCATTCTTTAATTAGGGGTTCTATATACAAGATAAATGAAACAATGAAGGTACAATTTTTTTTATACGAGACTTGTTTTTGAGAAAATTGACTTTGATGGTATCTCTGCTACGCTTGAGTAGAACAAAAAGACCCATCTTCGCATTGAAAATTTGTTTAGGATACAGTTTAGCCTAGTACATTTATTTGAAGTATAAATTTAGAAAACTTCGAGCTCTTTTTATAAATTAAAATATATAAATAGAGGGACATTCGTTTTGTTACATATTTACAGAAAACAATATTAAATATTATAGGTAATATTGTATTACCTCTGAATTGTAATGTATATGAACGAATATGACCTGTGTGGGGAAAAAAAGAAAAGAAAAAAAAAAGAGCCACGGAGCAGGACTCGAATCAGCGACCCAGCGATTACGAAGCTTGAAGCTTGGCTTAGCCACTTGACCACCGTCATTTCGTGATTATAATCGCAACGCATCGATACATATCAAGACGCCTAAAATTTCTCTAACGATTTTCTCGAAAACGCCTAAGTACTACGCCTTACTACTTCCACATTACGTTGTTCTAATGTACTACTAAAAGTGTCGAAAATTCGAAGAAAATCCGTGATCCGATCGTCGTGTTCTCCCCTTGTAAGCAATTTTTCTTAAATTGAATAGATGCAATCTCAGCAATTTCAGAATCGATTTTCTCGAAAACCAGCCTCGCATAAAGAAATCTTCTTCAATATTTTCCATTAATTTTTACACTTGGAATTACCTTCTAATTGTTTTACCCATTGTGGTACACCCTGTATCTATACAAGATACGGTTAAAATAAAAATATCTACTTTTGATGAGATGAAATAAAGTTAAACATCTTCAACGTTATTGTTCTTAACACGTTGACATTAAACTAAAATTGGTATTCAAGTATAAGTCTCTAATTAATTTTGAAACATTCTAATCTCTGATGCTTCAGCAATTTTATTTACTATAAAATCATTCAAAGAAATGTTAATGAAGTGGATAATTAGGTGCACACAGGGTGGACCACGTAAAGCGTTGTAATCTATTTTCTCGCAAACTATAGGGGATAGCGACGACATCTGTTTTTCAATATTTTAAAGTTCACTGTGACCTTTTATGTGATATATTTTATATGGTAGCACTGTCGGCACCTTAGCGGGACTTCTCCGCGTTCCTTTAAACGGTGCGGCATATAAATCTTTCCGTTTTAGGCAGCTGTTTTACAAAAAAAAAATAATAATACTCATTTTTAAACGTTCTCTCATATTTTGCATAGAAGTGAAATACATTAGGAAAAAGAAGAACAAAGAATAAATCATTGTAGTGGACACGAGGATAAGAGAGGTTAATAGATGAGGTCATTCCACGAAAAGAACTCGTTAATTTCCGACAATTGCAAACTGTCAAGTTTTCTTCCTACACGTAGCGCCAATTGGCTGTCTATATGTGTACGCAGTATTTTTTTGCGTGAAAAGCTTTAGTTTCTGGTTTCTTGAATTTCTTCATTGTTATGAATTCGAGCACCGTAACGGATATCACATGTCTTTTCAAGTGGGGCACACTATACTCTTACGTTACCTTCATTCAAGACTGCTCATTGCAGTTTCCAGACTCATTTGTATACTTGTTTTAACACAGCTTTTATAATTTTATGTAACGTCACAAACAATTTAAAAAAAAATGTTGTTACTTTCACAAGAGCTTCAACGTGTGCTTTTGAAAATCAACCATCAGCTAAATATATAGGAATTTTTGCTAAAAATTATATTATCATATAGACATATTTTAAATAATTTATGTCGAATCTTATCAATTTTTAAATTTAAACATAAATTATATTTAAATATATCGTTAAATATAGCTATTAAAGGTAATGAGAAATAATTAGCGAAGTGTAAAATAAAATTTTCTTAATAAACGATTGTAACAATTTCAATAAAATGTTAATTAATAGTATGAGTATCTTAAATTTGAGTAATTGATAAGAGTCAAAATGTCGTCACTTTTCGAATATTTAAATGAAGAAACTTTTCTATTCTTACCGTCGTTTCGTCTTCGTGCAGGACTTGATCATATTCGGACATCGCAACGCAAAATATGATCGCAGTGACGTCTTCGAAGCAGTGTATCCATTTCTTACGTTCACTTCTTTGGCCGCCCACGTCGAATAATCTGTTACATAAACAAGCAATTAATTAGTAATCAAATACCGAAGTCTGTTGGTGTAGCTTATGTATAAATTAAAAGTATAACTAGAGTTATAAATGATTCCATACGATGGCACGAAATTAATTTCTATTCCTAAAATTTGGATACTTTGGAAAAAGTAATCGAGACATACGTATTGTATTTAAACATTGAGTCTAATTAGCAAAAGTATACAGTTTATTTAGTTAATTCATAATGTTTCTTCTAAAATGAATTCCAAACAGTACAGTACAGTACAGTACAGTGTTTAATTTTGAGGCAACTTTAATATGTAACCCATTGAAAATATTCAAATAAAACATTGACGTCTTGAGATCAAATTTTACCATCATATTCCACGACGTGCTAAAATAGAAGGCACACACTTATCTTAAAAAGTAATCACAAATTCAACGCTTTAACGGTATCTACACAGTACAGGATGTTAACATGGACAACCGAAGCTGTACTATCATGAATGTATGTACAAGATAGGAAAACCTTTTGATTATAGAATGGAAAACAGTTTCCCCCTTGTCGAGCGATCCTAAAATTCCCCAAACGATAACATTTATTCGTATTAGTGTACATCGATAAAGATACACCTGCATTTTTATTTAAAATGCAATTATCAGGTACGAACAACAACGATTCTGCATTTCTGGGGTGTTTTGGGGGTGGGTTTGTCCGAGAGGGATTTCAGGGGGTGCATTCTGCAGAGGACATTAAGGAGACTCGCCCCAAAGGTTTTTTTTATTTTTGCAACCCTTTTCGTCATCCCTGGCCCCTTCGGAAGTGTCGTTTTTCACTACCAACCCCCTTACGGAGGTGAATTAACCCCTTCGCATCAATCTTCCCCGATGCAACTTTGCACACACCCACAGGACATTTCAAAGTTACTGACAAAGTATCACGAAAGTCGTAAGGGTTGGAAACTTTTATATTTTCAACTGTTTTGATAAAGTGTCCTCTTAATTTTGGAGGCGACTGTGTTAAATGTGAAAGTTAATTCTGTGCCTTTACATTCAATCGAATGTATTACTGGAGGAAGATCATAAGTGATACAGTTCTTCTCAAATAAATGGTAAGTTCACCATAGAAAAGCACATAATTAATTTCTATATCTAATGTATTATTATAAATATTTTAATCGTGAAACGACTTACTTGAAATTAAGATTCTTGAAGGCAAAGTGGACTTCGACTATACCCGTGGTTTTAACACGAGTCCTTAAAATATCTTGCTCCGTAGGCTGATAATCCCTTGCTCCTAATCGATTTAGGTCATCCAGGAAACTGAAATATCAAACAAATTGCATATACGTTAGGTAGGCATTCATTAATTCTTAATTTGTATTCTTATTGTCTAATACCACTTCTTAACTATATCTTAACTATAATTATAAACAAAAATGAACGACCCTGGAATACATATTTTTATATTTATATATTATTTGTATATTTGGCAATTTCGTTTGGAACTAAAGAAATGTTGTCATACTATGTTCTCTGTGAAATTAAATATACATTTTCATCTTGAAAAATAAACAAATTCTCAAGAATGCCCAAGAGAAAAAGGATATATTTAATCGATTCTTTTTAATATTCAGTAACCTGCATAAATTGTTTGTTACTAGGGATAATTGATACTTCGATTGACGTTGAAATTCGAGTCAAGATCGACTTTCTTTCTATCCCATACATTTTTTTTATCTATCCAGTCGTTTATTGCCAAGATACACCTGTAACGAGTGCTTTCATCTTATCGCGGTGCGTGGGTTTTATATTGCTTTCTCTAGCCCGCACGTACAGATATCGAACATGACGAGTATCGAGTGTCCAGTAAAAATAGCGTGTTATTAATATAGATTAATAAAAAGGCACTGAAATATAGCCATGTGTATCTGTAATTTGTTCTGTTGAAACATTACGTTATCTTCTAAATCAAGACAAAAGGTTATTAATTATTTTTTTACTAGTAAAACATCCCTTCCTTCGAGTATGACACACAATTAAGTTTTTCGCATTTTTATTTATTCAGATAAAATTATTTATAGAATTTTCTTATGTAAATTATATTCCGAGTAAAAATTCTATTAGTGTATGAATATTTTCCTGAGCAATAAAATACCTAATTTTGTTTAATAAAGATTGTAGCTAATTAAGTGGTCTACACTTAAAAAAAAAACATGAAAAACAACTAATAAAAGTTTCAACTGGAATGAATACAAATATTAAGGATTAAAAGTAGGTCTCAATTAGACTTTCAAATTGTATAGTAATGGTAATTCTTGAGAAACTTACAAGATGAAATAGCAATAGAAAATGATTCAAATTCATACTTAACTGAAAAATTGTCTTGCTTTGTTGATTTTATTATTTAAAAAAATATTTCCTTTCCTCCATAAAGATATCATCAGAAGGAGTAAACAAAAATCACAATTACCTTATTATGGAAGATAAATTAGTAGAGGATCATGTTAAAGTGAATGAATTAGAATTGATAATTCTAGCTTTGAAATTGTTTAAATAATAGATTCACAATAGACGGAATGGCTTTGAATAAATTGATTTTTGACCGACTTTGAAAAGGAGGAGATTACTCAATTCAAAATGTATATTTTTTGTTTTTAAATGTATGCTTCCCGATTAGGCCTAGATGACTTGACCAATCGGAATGAAACCTGTTGCATCTTGTAGAGTATGTCTACTCGGTTATTTTTTCTTCTACGCTTCGATGAATATTATAGGCTATTTAATTTGAGGAAATATTAACAGTAATTATTGTTGTAAATTAACATAAAACTAATCTTGAATTAGAGACCCTTTCACTAATCTCCAATCTGTTATCAGTCTCGATGACAAAACGTTTAAGGTTCTAGCAAAATAATTCCCATTCTTGACGCTAGATAGCACTATTGAATTCTGTATATCGATACTGTAGATACCTATCCACAAACAAAGTATGTTCGTGATTTTCTTATAAGTTCTACTATTCTTCTTCAATCCAAATGAAATTTTATGTAACTGTTTTTATTCTTTCAATGGAACATTTAGTTATTCGATAATTAACGATGTCCAAATATATTTTCAAACAAATATACCCAGTCACTAAATTTACATACAGTATTTGCTATGATGATAATATAAATTTCATAACTAAGCATCAGCAAAGTTTTTTATCATTCCACTTTTCGTAACAATTATTTCGATGATTACTATTATATTTTTGTAGGTAAAGGTCTGTCAATATCAATAATTTGTCCAGGCCTTTAGGTTTAGTTTGATAGTTAGATTTGATACAATATACAAGGTGTTTTCGTCAAGGGATGAACTATCATAAAAATGTTTACATAAAAATTATTTGACCCAAAAGAAGGTATTGTACGGCATAAATAATTTTGCTCTAAGTGAAGTGGCGAGAGAGGTTTAAGAAACAAATGAATTCTTTTAAAGGGATTTTTACATATTTTTATCCAGAAATAATATACGAGGTCCTATGTATTTTCAGATGCAAAACAAGTTGTCACTAATTTTGGGAAAAAGTGAAGTCTATATCTTCATTAATTCTGACGGGACACTCTGTATATGCATTGTACCACGCGCCGCACACACCCTTCACGCGAACTACAATCTACATATGTATATACCAGTTGCTTTCTGAAAACAGCGAATCGATTGCTCCCTCAAATTATTCTGTGTATTAATTTTCACTGGAAACTTTTTAAAAAAAATCACTAGATGAAATAAAATAGAAACAATATGTGGGGGTGAAATATTTAATGAAGTTATTTCGTTCTACTATATCTACCGGGAACTTATTTGTAGCTTTTTATAATGCCACTTACAATGGTCATTTTTTGAAACAAACAAAATGCTTTGTGTACAGAAAAATTATTATATACCAAAATTAATGTCAGTCTACATAAGTATATACTATGTGTCAATCATCTAATTCAATCATTGATAACTCTAGTTTGAACAGATGTACGTACTCGTCATTTGGTACATTATCCAATACACATAACTTAAGTCTCAACTTATGGTCATTGCAATGGATCTATACAAACTATTACTAGCCATGATATTCTGCTTATTATATATTACAATGCTACAATTATTATTACTACCAAATGCACTTGTAATCTGTTAGAAAAACAGCAAGCAAAATTTTATGGCTAATGATTTTGCACATAGATATATTCTAATGGCCATCAGGCTCAGACTTAGGTTATCTACCTATACAGGGTGTCCCAAAAATGTTGGAGGTCCTTGAAAAGGGTGGTTCAGGGGGTGATTCGAAACAACTTTTTCCTTAGCGAAATTGTTCTCCGAGGCTTCGTTGAGGAGATATTAACGGAAAACACTGACCAATCAGAGCGCGCGTATACTGTTGGAGCGCGGCCGCGATAGCGATGGCTACGCGCTAGGTAGCCGCTCTCGTACGCGAACAAGTGACTCGACGTGCATCGAAGGATATTGACGCGGCCGCTCAGCGCGTAGCCTTCGCTACCGCGTCCGCTCCAACGGTATTCGCGCGCTCTGATTGGTCGGGTTTTTTTTATTAATATCTACTTAACGAAGCTCCATCCGACATTTTTGCAAAGGAAAAAGTTGTTTCAAATCACCTCCCGAACCACCCCTTTCAAGGACCTCCAACATTTTTGGGACACCCTGTATATACATTTATACATATACCTATAGATTCATGGAGATTAAGCCATAGAAGATTAGTATTTTAATATAACAAAATGACAAATAATTATTTCTATTTAAACTAGAACTACAAATGATTAAATATAAAGCCACGGTATTCATTTCTACCATCTAATGCAAATAAGACATGAAGTAATAAACATCTCCATAAAAAAACTTCAAAAAAGTAAAAAAATTACGCCAAGTACATGAAAAAGTGGAGGACTCAAGGAGTTATCATAGAAAAATAAAAGATCCCCATAAAAAGCTACAAGAAAGTAAAAAAATGTCTACCATCTAATACAAATAAGACATGAAGTAATACACATTTCTTAAACATGGAAAGGATCTTCCTGCTCTTCCCCTTTAAATCCTGTTTCCTCTCTCCGACTCTTTTGATAATTATTAAGTGTCCAATTATTACGTATTTTTTGACAGGAGTAGTGTTTTCTTCCCCATTGTCCCTTCCTTCCTCTTCTTCGCCCTTTCATTCTTGTATCATTCACTCTATTTTCTTACTCTTCCCAGCTTAAGAAAGGGGTATACAACAGAATGAAAGGAGGAACGGTCGGGGATGAGGTTGAAAACGAGCAAGCGTTGTAACAGAAGGAGAAAAAGAGGGGATGGTGTCGGCGGCCATTTTAGGCCACGTGACACGGGCGTGGCGTGACGTCATCGACGATCAATACACCGCTGAACTTAAATAAGAGAGAAAGAAAAATGAGAAAAAGAAGAGGGCGTTCAAATCCTCAGAAACGCACACGCTTTGTTTCTTTAATTTAGGACCGAAACGTTCCACAAAAAATTAATTTAACACTTCAAAGAACGACTATTTAGAAAGAATGTGCATCTTAGAAACGGGTTTCCTAGAATAATATATGGTTCTATATTAATGCGGGTTGACATTAACATGTGCATATCGTTACTAAGCGTATTCAAAGTTTCATCTAATTCCTCAAACTGAGTATTGTAAGTGGACAACCAACAACAAATTTAATAGGCAGACACTGAAATTAATACGAATAAGCTTGTAGTAGATAAAGTATTAACACTTTAATCAAGTTTAATGGCATTGTACACTTACAATTAGTATAATGTATTTAAGCCTTACATTTCAAGGTACCCCAAATCTGATTGTTAAATTAGTAATTACACAACACGTAATCCATACGTTTGATCAAAACATGGTGTTCATAACATCGATATTAAATTAAAAGATAATCATTTTATTTGACTTTCTTTTCATTTTATTTAATTCTTTGCATTAACGTATATTTGGCTTCGAACGTAATTCTAATATTTATTGTATTCTCATATGTACTTTTCGTTTGTGATATACCAAGTACGAAACACGTCTTAAAAGTGTTTTTTTTTTTTGCCTAGAGATGACCCAGAGAACCAGGTGTCTCTTATCAAGTATTCAAAGAAATCGATCCGGTATCTCGTTTTCCAAGACCCTAATACTTTCTTGCTACACGAAAATTAAATTCTTTTGAAGTATTGAGTTTTTAATTTTTAAATTTCTGATAATCCAGCTGTGTTGTAGACCGGTCACCGTGGAATATTCTTGTCAAAAACAATATCGTCGCAAATTTGTTAATTTAATATATCTTTAAATACAACAAATTGTAACATATCTACTAAGAAATGCAAAAAAAATTCATAAGCTAACTTTGAAAATATTTTAGGTAAATTTTGAAGTATCTTTGGCAAATTTTTTTAATTCTCTTCACACAGAAATTTGTGAAATATCGTGTTTCTGCGAAACTACATTTCTCCAATACCTGGAAATGATAACTCAAAAATTAATCGACCGATCGTTTTCAAGCTTTACATTAGTCTAGTTTATTTAAACATCCTGAAAATGAACTAAAAATTGGAATGAAATCATTGTTCAAAATACGTTCTTTATTGCAAAAAGGTGAAAGAAAGAAATTTCACTACTGAATTCCTGATGTTATACCGATGAAAATGGTACCAAACACGATATGATATCGATTAATTTTAATTATTCGTGTAATGTACATTCTACAGACCACGCTGTTACACAGCAGAAAAATCTTTTTCCAATTCTACGCTTGTCTTGTTAATAATTAAAATTTATTTCTTTAACTTTTATAAAACGCAACAAAAAGCGAACATATCATGACAAACATTTTACACTTCAACGCTCGGACCCTTTGAGGTCCGTCGTATGTTAAAGTCGGCACACGTGCGCTTTGGATGGTTCAACCATTGGTTTCTGGCTTTCAGTAATCAGCCGATTTCACTTCATATGCATCGTATTATTACGGAAGTAACGCGGATGGATTCCTTACGTTTTCCCGATGAAAACGCTACTAAACGCTATGTAAATCGGACTATTTTTAACGAAGATAGACAAAAAGCTTGCAAATCATTTTTTCCGTATAATTTCCTTCGAAATAATCCGAATTGTATCGTGTCTGGTACCATTTTCATCGGGATGACATAAGGAATCGATTGGTAATACATCCGTTAAGATCCGATAAGAAATACGGAAAATGATGGTCGAGCTTCTTTGGGTCTAGTTTGCTACGTCCTTTTTATGATTACCATTGTTGCCCGGCGGCGGACTAACATGTGTACTCGGAAAAGCTTGAAACCATTCGAGTTGCCCGGTTCTTTCGGGCCGCTTGGTTTTTTCGGACCGCTCGATTCTATTCGGGTAGCTTGAAAAATTCAAGTTACTTGGTTTCTTTCGGGTAGCTCGAATCTTTCAAGCCACTCGGTTTTTTCAAGTACTCGACTTGGCTCGGAAATCGGATCCCGGTTTGACTCGGCTTGAAAGCCGCTTGAATATTCGGTCTTTCCGACAGCTCTAGTGGCTACGGTCTCGGTGAAAACAAGTATCGGAGGTCTCGCTTCGAACCACTCCATTTTTTTTGAGCGTTCGATCCAGATTCGCGTGGAATAGTCTCCGTGCTCTCGAGCCTAGACCATGGGCCGAGACCCAAACGTTCGTAAAAATCGACTCTTTCAAGTGGTTCCAACCGTTCGTCGTCGCATTTGCCGACCTTTTGCTCGCTAGTAGGAACGCGTTTTCGAACAAAATCCAGCGAGCACGAACAATTTATTGCTCGAGCACGAGCATCGCATATATGGGACCTCACCTTTACGTACGCGCACTCCTCGCGAGCGATACCGAAGTGGTACTCGTACTATCGATCTCAATGATCTTGATTTAAAAAAAAAAAAAAAAATGGATACCCTGATAGAAACTTAACTATTCGTTTTATTGAAAATAGAAATGTCTGCTATTGCATGCTACGTTTATGACGGTAGATTTGTATCTGCTCTTGCCTTGAAAAAAACCACCCTCGAGGACTCGAAGGTGGTGGAAGAAATGGTCGGGTGGAAATGGAAATTTGTTCGTGATTGGTCGAAATATTCGGTTACAGGAGGAGAATTCGGCTGAGGAGGAAAACGGTAACTCTATTGTTTGTAAAAGGCTAGCGGAAAACGGTAAAAATGACCGCGCGACATCTGCTCGCCAAATGTAGTAAAAGCTAAGCGCTTACATTTTGGGAACGCGGATTTATTGATGGGGTCGACCAAAATTACCCTTAACTGTCGACGGCGAAGAATATAATTTTACGCTTAAATAAAACTTACAACCTAACATGTAGAATAAAGAACATTCGAGATGAATAGCGAATCGAGCGTTTAGTTCGCTACAGAACGCTTAATATTTGGCCTCGTAATGTGGTTTCATCCCTTAAAACTGTATAGAATCCCCCGAGTTACCTGCTGAACTTCAGCAACACGTTTGCTAAGCCGGTCTGGACGTAAAAGGTTGAATACACTATGGATCTATTTCCGTCTGTTATTGAGATAAGCGTTGTTTAGTCTTAATGTCAAGCGTTGGTCGAACAAGGATGGGAGATGGAACGAAGGATAGAGCAACTGTCGAACCGCGCTAAATTTGCTAAGTTCAAACTCCAATTAAGGACTTCATATTCAAAGAGATTATACAATACAGTTAGTCACGCAAGTATTCTTACTCTCTTTATCTATTAAAAAATTATATGTTTGACGTTTTTAAATAAATGTTTCATTATAAATGTGTACATGAATAAATTTTACACAAAAATTTCTATGAAACCGTTAAACCTATCATTTAATTTAAACAATTTTTTTTAGTAGACATAAAGGGTACGAATATTTATGACTGTAGAGATAGTAGGTAAACCAACGAAAAATTTCTCTAACAATGCATGCACAGTCGCATTAAGAATCTATATAATTTCTTTGTTTATGTTGCAATAAATGATCATGTATTACAGATGGACGCACCTTGTACGGATAAAAATATATAAAGTTCCATTTAAAAAAATTGATTTGATTTTCAAATCTCCCCCACTACTTCGCTCAACAAAATTATTTACACCATATAATTCGTTCATTCGAACCAAATAACTGTTTTAAAAATTTTTGTTTGATAGCTCCATCCCCCGAGCAATATTTAACTATGTATATATATATATATATATATATATATATATATATATATATATTATATTTTAACTAATGTATAATGTGTATAAACCATGTATGTACGAACATACACAGTCGATGAAAAATTTATTTGAAATTATTTGCAATTACTTAGAGGCGTGCATCGTCTCATAAGTCCTAGAATTATCGCGGAACAGAATTGGTCTTTCACGTTTGTTTAGAACTAACCGACGTATGTTACAGTGTTTGATGTGGAATGCCAAGTCATCGCGATATCTTCCCGTCATTATATTTCGTCCAATTTTTAAGAAAGAATAACAGACTATTCTCTCGTTCGATCACCACGATGATTGTTTTCCTTGGACGAAAATCAAGTTTTGCTAACTTCGAAGGAGGACCTTTCTTAATAGACCACATGGCAGCATATTTACGACTGTTATTAAGAATCCACTTTTAATCACGTGTTACGGTACAATTTCAAACAAACGGTTAGTTTCGTCATGCGAAGGCGAATAAGGAAATACAGATACACAACTAAACAATTTTAATAATCTATTTCTTTTTCATTTTACTTTTTTACTTTGATGACAATGCCAAGTTGTCGTACCAACCGCAAAAAATTGAGAGCAAATTTCGTGTTCGAATGAACAAAATTGTTAAAAATGAATGTCGCACATTTTTTTAATTACTTTAACATGCGTAAAAACATTCACGTTCCATAATTATTTGATATGTAAGATAAACATTCTTGGAACAAGTCTTGCTTTCTTTCGCACGTACGATAGTAAACCACATACTGTGTCAGTAAATATAAAAAATATAGCTCAGAAGAATTCTATCAATTAGAACCATTGGATCATTTTTTAAACAGTTTTAAATGCGCGAATCTGTTGTACGTGCACATATAAGGGTGATCTGCCGTTCCAAGTCCATTTCTTGGCTGGAAAATACCAGAATGAAGATTTTAATTTTTCTACTCACTATTTCGCAGAGTCGTTGAGTTGATACTCGTTGCTCCTGCCGAAGCATTCCTGAACCCCGTTGTCCGCCCAGAGCCTCTTCATCGCCGCGAGAAGCTCCTCGCTGAACGGCTCCGTGTCCTCCATTCTTTGGATGACGTCAAACACCATTTTCGCGTCCGTCTAGAGAACAACAATTTTCCCAACTGATTATTGGCCTGTCTGAAAAGTCCCTGAAGATTTTCAATGGACGACATTGGAAGTTTCGTGCGGATACGAAAGTCATCGAGGACAAGCGTACACTTGTGGATCGTTTGAGGCTGTGGACGTCTGTTTCGCGAGGAGTGCTAGCACTGTTGGGAATCATTCTCGCTTTTCTTCGTAACGCGTATGTCTAATTGCGACCAAGAAGCGGTATCTATCAACTCACGGTCAATTTCAATTATTTACTTATACGACTTGAACGGAATATCGACAGAATTATAATTTTTGAATTTTATACAGATTGGTACAGGTCCAATTTTAAATGTTTTACACGATTTTTGTTTTTGAAGAATTTGAAGTAATAGGCCAGTCATATTAGACGATTTTTTTTGCCAAACATTGCATAAAACACTGTAAACTTGCTTTTTTCATATGTTGTTAGGACCCACTTAGATAGTATAAATCTAGATTTGCAACCCTCAGAAACGTGAGCCGCGAAATTTTCGCATTTTTTTCAATTTTTCGTAAAAAAGTCACCAAAGGAGTATCCTGACGAAAAAAGTCATTGTTACCTTTTTTTAAGTAGATAAAATTTCCTACAATTTGAGATGTAGTTGGAGCTCTGTAGCTCTTTTAGGGGTTCACCTTTCGTTTCTACACACGCTTGGCATTTTCTTTTTACAGAGTTCCGATGGCAAGGTGTAAGTGAGCCTGTTTCTGCTAGCAAACTAAAATGTTTATATCTCAGAAATGGTTGACCTTTTGACCTATGTTTATTACAGCTTTTTTACTCAGTACCGTGTGTCCTATATACCATATAAATATTGAATTGTTTTTTCTTAACACCCTATATATCACGTATGTAGCACTACACATCACCTTTCTGTTCCCGTGATTAACTCTAACAATTGTAATTTCTCTATCAAACTAATAATGTGTTTTATATTTGTAGCAATTCTGTTCTCATGATCTAACTCTTGCTATTACTTTAACAATTGCTATTTCTCCATCAAACTATTATAATGTGTTTTATATTTGTAGCACTATACAATACGTTTATTATGTATCGTTTCATAACTGGTAAACATGAAAAATTATATCATGTTTCATGTTTAACATAATTATAATAATATGCTGTTTCATGTTTGACACAAATAAAAAGATACAATGTTGCAAAATGGTGACAATTATATTAATGGTTTACTTGATATTTTTGTTTGTACTAAATACATGTACAACGGTACTTTCACTGATACTCTCTACTCTTGTATTATTTTTCAAACGTTCAAGAAAATATCTGAATTTATCATTTGATACATATCAAATAGTATATACATATACTTTTTATCTACTTCTGTGTTATGGTTAAATTCGAGTATATATTATTGAGCCTACTGAAGAGGACATCCAAATTAAAGATAGAAATGTATATCAATTAAATAATACTTGGAACAGAGAATCTATTATTTTCTTTGTACGAATGAATAATCCCACAAGAGTTTAAGTAAAATTGTTCTCTAATTTACAATTATTTGGAACCAACAATACCCGATTTTTCGCCATGCGCAGATATTTCGACTATATCTATCTTAGAGACTTCCGAGAATATGTAAAATATCATTGATTATAAAAAAAAAAAGAAGTTAATAAATGATAAGAAACTACGATTTCACACAAACGTTTTTTGGAAAATTGATCGGTGTACGAATACATTCTACACCCACTGTATGTATGCGCGATTTGGCAGTTGAACACTGTTTATGTGTCCCTGAGGCAAGATAGTGCGATCACCAGTAGACGACGGTTTTTGTTGCCGCGGGCGTGAACGAAGGCATCAAGTGTATCTCGCTGAATACAAGTGGCTAACCTCAAGGGGCGGAGTCAATCACTCTTCACGCGCGCCGATAATACTCGACAGAATCTTCAAGATCGATTTAATGGGAAACGAAGCTTCGTACGAAAAAATATCACTCTACATTTTCCACTAATTTTTTTTCATGTACATTCATGTATATCTGGTTGATCCATAAATAATTTTCGTTTGTTCGCTTACAATTTATTTTCAAACATATTATTACTAGACTGTCGATTTTGTGCATTTATGATATAAACTAACATAATAAACAGATGTTAAGCATAACCAAAAGGTACGTGGACTTGTGCAAAATGAAATAACAATATTATTACAATAATTGTAGAATATATTCGACATCGATTATGTATTTTATGTATGTTTTCTATATTATTGTACATCACATTTACGTAAAATCCGCAGTATAATTATTACGTAATAAATCTTAATCGTTTATATAATCACCATTGTTGATTATCAATTATTCCTATGTAACAAGCAAATTAAAAAGTGCTACATGCAGAAGGTTCCCCGAAAGCATGATTATTTTTTACCTGCAACGGTGATTGTTTATTTATGAATTTATTATTTATGGATCATCCCTATATTTAAGATTCAATCCTCTTTTTTTATATGTATGAAAATATAAAGGAGGATGTTAAAAAACATCCATAGCCTGCTAATCAAAATACCAAAGACAATAGTCTACGAAAGATAATTTCACTCCGATCTTTAAGTGCAATAAAGGCTTTCGATAAAGACAATAAATAAAATATATAAATAACGTTGTGGATAATAATAGGGTGAATTGGTTAACAGAAATATCTGTAAAAAAAAAAACCCATAAAAACGTCTGCGAACCGTGATAAGGATTGATAGCTAAGGGGATAGCTATAGAATACACAAGTAGTCAGTGACTGAAGCGAGTCAAAAATTATCGATGGCTGAGTACTTGAACGATCGATGCGCATCTCGAGGCGGTTCTGAAGCACACTCTTCGGGCATATTTACCGATCGTGGAGCATCGCGGCTGCGTCGTTTATCTTAAAGCCAATAACGAGCCCCCGCCTCGAAAACGAGCACGAGGGTCTACTTCGAGCACCGATTGATCCGACTTTTCAAACCGGTGCTTCTGACAATGAGTTCCGATTCCTTGACATGCTAATTTTTATCTATTTCTCCCCGTTAAAAATATCCGTTTGCGATACTGCCTTATTTTGTCAGTTCCGTAAATTGGCGAATACTTTTTACAATTTCCATTTCGTACTTTTCATTGTTATATTTCCAAGTAGGAAACTAAATCAATATTGAATTATGTACATTATATACTAGTAAATTTATGTTTGTTCTGAATCAGATAGGAGTAACGACGTTTATATATTTTCTACAGTAAGAACAAACTACTACTTACTGTGTGTATTATACATATACTAGCAAATGGCTACTATTTGTGTACACTGTATATTAGAGCGACACTACCACTGTTAATGAGCATTCCATATTAGGAAAGACTATGTCATACGAAAATTGGTTTCTTTTAAATTTCTATTCAACTCTTTCCTGTGCGAATTCTTTATACCTTATAATAATAATAATAACGTTTATGTACATTCTAGGTACAAGAATAAGATTATTACAATTTATGTAGATTGCGTACTAGCAAATGGCTATCGTTTATGTACATTCTATACTATGGATGGCTTGCCACTGCTTGTGTATTCTATAGTAGCAAAAGTCAGATTTACCTCCCGTTCATTGGTCGTGAAACTGATGCCCAAAGTTGGCATCGCTTTGAGAATAGCGACTAGAGATTGTATCGTGTTGCTGTACACTACAGGTCTGTACTGCTTGAAATCCTCAGGCGTAAATCCGCTTTCATGGATAATTCTGTAAAAATAAATAACGGATGGTCAGTTCCAGTATATTAAAATTGTTTATTGAAATTGTATTTTATAAACGTTGCAATTTAATTTCTATTAAATTCGCTAAAAAAAGAGAAACAACTAAATTTCAATATTCAATTGTAACAAATATTCATTGAAAACAATAATATGGTATTTAAGTATGTATTTCGGCGCTTAACTAAAAGGAGATAATTTTTCTATGAAACTTTATCTTCTTTCCTTAACACTTGCCCAAAAAAGTTGATAAATTCCGTAACATTAGGGAAGATGTTTTCAACGCGAATTGAAGTAAAGTTATGAATTAATTGAAAGCAAAGTAATAATAATTAGAATTCCAAGCAAGATATTGTAATGTTTCGTTCGTGCAAATATCGAATCAGCATGCCAGAAATCATGTCCTCGACTGAATACATATGGTTTTGTTCACGGGACGCCATGAATGGGTTCATTGACGAAAAAACATGATTTAAAACACGTTTTACCGGCAACTGTTCTTTCAGGATGGAAATTATTGATTTTACGAAGTGAATGACCGATTCGCTATACCCCTAATGAAGTTAACAGACAATTTTATTTCCAGCAGGAAAACTGAAAAATACTTTCCAGAAGATACTAATTTTCTTATCATTGTATATTAAACATTTATTCAGCATACATATAATTTATTATAAATTATTCTTTAATCTTTATACGAAAATTGGTTTCATTTAACTTTCTGTTCAACCCTTTCCTGTGCGAATTCTTTGTATCTTATAATAATAATAATAACACATAGATATCACGATACACTGTGATTTTAATTGAATCAAATCAAATAAATTGAAACTGAAACATTTTACAATTCTGACGTCGTAGATTGTCAAAAATAAATATTTTGTATAGAAACTAATCGATAAATGATATCCCAAAAAGGACACGTCTGGCTATACTGACTGATATTAATACTTAAAAAAAATTTTCTTTTGTTTAATAATAGAAAAGTATTTCGCTACTCACTTCATTTGTTTTACGATGGTACTTTTTCCAGACTCCCCAGCACCTGAAACACAAAAAAGAATTTTTATTTATAACGAGCAACGTGAAACAAAATATTTCGGTAAAGACGATCAATTAAAATAATTACTTCAGAGAAGATAAAATCAACAAAAAATAATTATTATTACATTATCTGAGAATTTCAAAGCAAATATCGTATTTATCAGAATAGTGGCAACGAACATATAATTAATAATGATTACAATTATCAGCAGATATTATTGTAATACAATGCTGAAAAACAAATATCTATGATCACTAGACTGCGGATCTTTATGCAAAATAAAATCTTCGCGAACGTGCCTACAAAAAATGAAACCTAAATAAGAATTTATTTTATTCTGCAAATGTTGTAACGTGAACTTTACTTTCAATCTTTTTTTTATATTCATGCATATTCTTTGCATTTTGTAGCTTCTTGCACATTCAAATTTCCTATAAATGCATAAAGATCCGCAGTCTAATGATCACTGTTCTCTGCCCCTGATCATTGAAAACCCTTTAAAATACTAACGAATAAATTCTACCTAAATGTGCAGATATCAGATAATCATTTTTTTACCACTCTATCCTAATATTTTTACGCGAAGAATGACGAAAGGAATCAACCTATGCAAAACAAAAATGAATGCATTTCCGTATAAAAAAAATAATGGATCAATCGATTGCACCAGCACCATTGCGTTTGTATAAGAAACACGGTCGTACAAGTGTAGTACATGTAGAGCCATTCATCTTTTTCCTTTGATATTTTTTCTCTAAATGTACGGATAACGAAGTTACGGCTTGTTACACTTACACGAGCCACCCTGTTTAACAGTACGTATTATAGATACGTATTGACCGAAGGTAGTGTTGGTTGAGGTTTAGTGTCGTGTTTGAACATCGTGGTTGTAAGCGCGAGCAATTCGAAGCGCGCGGTTCGGGATGAAAGAGCTTTTTAAAAGAGGGGGAGACCCGCCATCCATAAGCAGGAAAGCAAGTTCCGCTGGCACACTGTGCCACCACGTCATTTCCGGTCCTGTACTTCCGCCCTAAGCACCGCTTTTTTTTTCTTTCCCTGATTCGCATGTACGTTTTCTTTGGATTTCGTGATCGTTTTGTTCACGAATTACCTAATGGCAGAATATCGTAACAAGAGTTTCCTCAAGAACCTACTTTGCACAATGATTTCATTCCAATGTTTAGTTCCTGTCCGAGGTATTTAAGTAAAGTAGATGCATGTAATGTTTTGGGAACCATCGGTCGATTAGTTTTTGAGTTATCATTCCCACGTATCGGAGAAATGTAGTTTCGAAAAAAAACACAATATTTCAAAAAATTTCTGTGTGAAATGAATCGAACAAATTTCTGAAGGTACTTAACGTATAAATTTTCTTTGGAGAAACGAAAAATTTTCCGGGTAAAAAAGTTTCTTAGACATCACAGCAGCCAATTTAAAATAAAATTAATAAGAAAAGAAATAAGAAGTTACGATTAAAAGTAATAAACTTCAATTTACACAAAATCTACTCTAAAAATATGTAGGAATCTTGGTTAATTATTTCTTTCCTAAACATTCATTAATAAAATAAATATATGAAGTTTTATTTTGAATTGGCTTTTGTACGAATACTTATTACACTGACTGCATGAGAATACAATAAATATTAGAATTACGTTCGATGCCAAAGGCACGTTAATGCAAAGAATTCAATAAAATGGAAAACGTCAAATGATAAAAATGATCTTTTAATTTAATATCGATGTTATAAAGATCGTGCTTAGATCGAACATATGGATGACGAGTATCTCCTAGTTACAAATCTAATTCAACAATCAGATTTTGAGTATCTTGAAATTTAGGGCTTTAAATACATTACGCTACGTGTACAATTCCATTGAACTTGATTAAAGTGTTAATTTTTTATCTACTGGAAACATATTCGTATTAATTTTAGTATCTACCTGTCAGACCTTACTGAATTGTTGCAGGTGGTCCACTTACAATACTATACCTAGTAATATCCACAAGTTAATGTTACTCTAGATTAATATAATTTAATATATAATATTATTGAAAATTCTTTTGGACGCGTGATCTTTTTCTAAATAAAGCACTACTAATCACTGAACTTGATTAAAGTGTTAACACTTCATCTAGTGAGAGTTTATTCATAACTATTGTAATGTCGGTATCTACCTATCATAATCTAAAAAACACTTAATATTTGAACGTTAGAAGGTAAACACTGGAACTAAAAAAACCTATAAATAGGTACACTGGTGATGCTCTGAAATAAGTAAATACTTTATCTACTGGAATCATATTCGTATTGATGTCAGTATCTACCTATCATAATCTAAAAAACACTTAATATTTGGACGTTAGAAAGTAAACACTGAAACTAAAAAGCCTACAAATAGATACACTGTTCTGAAATAAGTAAATGTTACTTTCCTTTTCGATTGACTATCCATCAAATAATTAGCATGCCGAACAAATAACATCGAATACAAAGGATTAATTTAAGTAATTTGTTAGTTGCGTTGTGACCTAACTATGTCACTGCTCGTGACACGAGGCATAAAGTATCATCATGCCCACGAGGGGATTGTCTTTGGCGACGTCCGTAAATTCCGTGGTACTTTTAAAATTGCAGACCAAAGGACCATTTCGTCTCGTTACATAGTCTCAGACTAGAATCCTTACGATTAATGAGACGAAACGATCCTCATCGTCCGCAATTTCACAAGAGTGAGGCAGTTTCACTTATCAGACGACGCCCGTGGCCATCTTCTTGGAACGGTGGTACATGTATTATGTACCGACTTGATTTAACTTTTGATTGGTTACGTAGAGTGAGACGGAAACGATTTTCGGTATGAAAATTTTGTTTGCATATTGATCACGTGTTCAAAATTGTTTCCCTCGAAAGCTACTCGACTGTGTCCTCAAAAAGTTTACTAGACGTTTATTATTTATTTATTTATTTATTTATTTTTTTTTTCTAATGAAAACTCACTCTGGGTTACACTGCCGATGTTTATGCGTTTATGAGAAATGTAAATACACAAAAACATAGAAGGATCTGTACGAATGCGTATATATGTTAAATATAAAAAATATACTACCCGTCGCAACATTTAGAAGGCAAAATATATCTTAATTTACTATTCTGTTCGTCATCTGTGTATGTAAAAATATAAATTTGCATAAACATCCGCAGTCTAGTCATCAGGTTAGGACTTAGGTTATCTTCTGAATATTCGAACGTGTATAATATTCTTTATATTTAACACATTTATGGATTTACACACGTCCTTGTATATTGTTGTATATATTTTCATTTGTCACAGATGCATAAATATTTTTATATAAACAGACGAGGAACAACACGTCGCTCTAGATTTAGAAGGCAAAATATATTTTAATTTACTATTCTGTTCGTCATCTGTGTATGTAAAAATATGAATTTGCATAAACATCCGGAGTCTAGTCATCAGATTAGGACTTAGGTTATATAATATATGTATAGATTCATTGTGATAGAGACCAGACCGCGGATCTAGAAGATTCGTAATTAAACATGAAATAACAAAATGACAATGAAATATTTCTACTTAAATTAAAGTTATAAACGAATGAATATAAATTACTTTCCATTTTTATTTTTATATAAATTCATATTAATTAATTATTATATAATATAATACAATATAACGTATGATGTTACATCATAATATGTAGGCTATATTATTAATAATTTGTCCAACAAAATTATAAATGATACACATTAAAATTATTTAAAAGAAAATATACGTATTTAAATTTATATAAATGCGTATATAAGTTTATATAAATTATTTTAATATAAATTAATTTCTACACCAAATATATTTATATCTTGTTTATATTTTGTTTCTTGATCATTGTTATTCGTCCGATGCACGTATTTTGACGGTCACCGGAAAATATTTCTCGCGCATTCGAATTAGCGAATGATATAGGAGTCAAAGAGAAAACGATCGTGTGGCGTTTCCTGCGGCATAAATGGGATGAAAATACTCGAAGACGCAAGCAAAAGGAATGACGTCATTGGTAACACCAATAAACAGGACCCAGATTTCCCTCGAATAATCTCGTGTTTGAATGCCGACCAGAAAACCAGAGATTCTTTATCTCTGCTTTAATCAGACGTAAGGATTTCGAAAATGAATTGTTTCAAACGAATGTTCGCTTACGATTTTCAACCCGTTGGCCTTCCACTGTTACTGTCGGCACCGACATTAGACACAAAGTATTTCTCAAAATATTCTGTATACACTTGCTTTTCAAATTAACAATAATTAACAATTTCGTGATCACAGACAATAGATTCTATTGATTAAAACGCCAATTTTTGAATTATTTAAAATTTATCGTTTTCTTTTAAACAACTGGAGCGTGCATCATTTATTATTTTTAATTATTAGTGTATTATATTAACCGCGTTCTTCCATGTTACGTAATTTTTAAATTATATGGAATGAATCGATGATAATAAATGTTTTATATTGTTTTTGCTTTCGTGCAGTTTTCGAATAATTTGGTGTATAATATATAATTTTGTGTTAACAGATTACAGTTTCATATAATTTAAGTGTGTATAATTTATAATTTCATTGGAGAAAGTAGCAAATAATGGGCAGAATTTTTTCAGGTATATTAAATTTTTCATTCGTTTGTAAATAACGTAATTGACGCACATACGTCGGTTTGCACACGCACGCCTGTAATAATAATTCCGCTCTAATTAAAACGCAGTTCATTAATAATTGAAGTCATAATCGCTGTGTTCTACAAAACGAGTCACTATAAACAAACAGTAACCCGAGCAGAAACTGAATATGGAAACGGTGAGCCAATTAATCAACTACTTCAACTATACTGTTTCATGCGGGTGTATTCTTGCAATTCGGATCATTTTTTACACTGAGTTAAATACAATTTTTTTTCTAGAATTCCTGCACACTAGAAATTTCTCACATTTCAATTTGTATACAATTTTTAATTCGTAATTTTTCTCAATTTTTCTAAATTCATAATTGTTAATTCTTAATTTTTCTTAATTCCTAATTTTAAAATTTTCCAACATTTCCTGCACACTATACATTTATTTCTATCCCTACAATTTTTTGTGTATTTTTTTTTTAAATTTTCTAATATCATAATTGTTAACTTTTAAGCTTTTCTAAATTCCTAACACACATTATTTTTAAATTTTTCCAAATTCCAAAATCCTAAATTTTTCAACTTCCTAATCCCCAACTTTTATATTTCTAAATCTAAAATATAGTATTATCAAGCTTACAAACTTTACATTTCGCGAGATATGTTTAATATCTTTTAATAATAAGGATAAAAGGAACACTTAATTAATGAATTACTTCTTTTATAGTTAACCTATTTTTATAAAGGCAGAGTAGAAATACTAGAAAGCAATAATATAAGAATTTGCAACAAAAAATGTTTAAATTAAGTTGAATGATTTAAATGAAACAGTTATTAATCACTTAACAGCTGGGATAATTATTTTTTTCCAAATAAAAATACATTATACATTTCTTATGGAAAAATGTAATGGTAAAGTGTGAAATGTAACTGTAATTTAATTTTATTGCAACAGCAATGCTAGTCTTGTAACTACTCTTTTATTTCAATGGTTAGTCCATCATTGCGTAATAAACACTTGCCTTCTTAATGGTTTCATATTAGTTGCTTATATGATGATCAATTTGTCCGATTAAGAGTCGACGTGCTACTTACATAACAGTTATTTTTTTCACGTTCACGTACACTTTTATTCTACAATTTCTAAATTCACATACCTTCTTAATAACTAATTAAGTATACTACAGAATACAGCACAATCACTTCTGAATTTTATCCAACGATTTCTTATCTTTCTAATATTATTTCTCCATAACTAACTATTATTTCATTTTATTCTACTCTTCAACGAATATGAATATACTTTATACTAATTTTTTGAACGCTAAATAGTTTTGCGAATGGCTGACTTGTTAAAATAAGGGAATGTTTTGAAATTGTTTAATAAATGGAATTATAAATTTTCTTATTTCGTTAAAATGATGAAATAATAATGATTAGTAAAAAAAAAAGAAATTATTATAATAAATATGCTTCTAACATTACCTACACGTATTTATATTATTTATAGTTTCGTATATAACGTTGATTTTTAATGATTTATATTCCTCTTTTATAGAAATTTTATCTAGCATATTCATTGGTTAAAAATAAAATGGAAACGTTACATGCATCGCTCTGAAACATATTGACTATCTATTTGAAAATGATAAATAAACTTTCAGATTGACGAATAAATATTGATTCGCTATGTAAACGGTAACACTGCTGTTCCAAAGCTTATTTGAAATACCTATTACCTCGAAGCGTACTTGGAATATTTATTATTTCAAACCATACTTAAAATACATATTATTTTAAACACGTAAATTACATACACTTTTTCTCTTATTTAAACGTGAATTTTTTTTATCGGTGGTTATTTGAAGATTAACACATTATACGATATACAATTTTTTTTTTACATCGTTGCGTTAATGAAAGTGTATGTCGTTGAAAAAAATGTCGATGACCTTGAAATCGAAAATGTATGACTTTGAGATCTTTATTTGGATTATTATAATTTTTACCGACTTCAAACAAATAATATTTTTCTATGAAATTTTTTTTTATCACTGAAAAGAAGTGAAATGTTTAAGATGGTAGAGTTCAAATTACCCTTGTATAAATTAAACTTCAATCTAGTTTTTCAATTTCTGTGGTCCTGTACTCATTTAATAAGTGTTAGAAAGAATATGTTACTCAAAAGGGGCTGGTCCAAGTTTATATTTGTGTATAACATAATTAAATAATTGTATTGCAGTCATATTGTTAGACTTAGGATGTTCATGCAAATTCGTATTTTTATATATGACAATATATTCTAAATATTCTAACGTGTATTATATTCATTATATTCAACACATTTATGCATTTACACAGATCCTTGAATATTTTTGTACATTTACATTTGTCAAAGATGCATAAATATTTTTATATAAACAGACGAGGAACAACAAAGTAAATTAAAGTATGTTTTGTCTTCTAAATGTTCGAACGTGTATAATATTCTTTGTATTCAACACAATTTATGCATTTACACAGATCCTTGAATATTCATGATCATGCTTGATGAGATACCATACCATACTATTAACACGATTAAGTAGGAAATAAATAGCTAATCTACTATCCCTACTATCAGCAACGTAGATGGCTATTATGAACCGTTGTGATTGTTATGTTTAAGCCTCTCCAGTGCTTTATTACCTCATTCATCATCAGTGAAACATAATTCATTGCTAGCGTTACACCTGTTTACGTATTGTTTAGATTGCTGATACATTTATTGGATTCATCTATGAAATCAATATCCGAATAATTTGAAGTATGGTTTCTATAACGCGACTTTAGTTGCACTTTAACCTCTTTGTACTTTCGTTTTATTTCTTTTTACTGGGTATTTATTATGATTTTTTTCGCTTTCCTTATTTTATTAACAAATTGTGCAATAATGACATCAAATAAAATCTATGAAATCAATATCCGAATAATTTGAAGTATGGTTTCTACAACGTGACTTTAGTTGCACTTTAACCTCTTTGTACTTTCATTTTATTTCTTTTTACTGGGTATTTATTATGATGTTCTTCACTTTCCTTATTTTATTAACAAACTGTGCAATAATGACATCATATAAAAAGTAAACGAATAATAATCTAATTCGACAGGGTCTTTCTCGCTTTGTATCATGTGTATGTAGAAATTAATTTAACATTTTACTCTAAATAATTTTTCTAATTTTCCATCTGAATTTATGTACAAGGTTGTCTCAAGGTCATCGATATTTTGTTAAATGCAATCACGTATTTTCAACAATTACGTTGTGATTTCCTATAACACGGTACGAGTTATTCTATTTCGTATTAATTTTAAGTTTCTTGTATAAAAATTAAGGTGATTTAACGTGGTGAGAATTAAGGGGCGAAAAATAGGTTTAGGCTTCTTACCATCGTTTTATATTCTGTTCTTGTTCGACCAACGTGCGTTAAATTTATCGACTTCAAACACCAATTTAAATTTTGTCTAAACAAATGCTATCATGCTATGGATAAAAATATACAAGTTGCCATTTAAAAAATGAATTTGTTTATTAAATCTCTCCTAGCACTTCGCTTACGAGAAAACTATTTACACCAAATAATTTACCCTTTCGTACCAAATGACTTTCGTAAAAGAACTTTTTTAATCATTTCATTCCCTCGCAAGATATCGAACCATTCCGAGTTAGACGAAACACCCCATCTAAATGTAATTTGAAACCTTCTTCCGTAGTGCGTACGGACGACAATTCTGCGGTGTCCAAGGGGTTAAAATTTCCATTTACTTCAAAGAAACCGATTCGAATCCAAGGGCGGTTAAATTCAACCGTATCGTCATTCGAAAGCGTTTGTTATTGTACACCAGTGACACAATGGAAACTGTCATAAGTACTACTCACCAAGCAGCAACAGTTTGATGTCCTTGGAAGCCTGAATGCCGTCCTCCTTTAAGTTCTTCTCGATTTGCTTGCTACGGGCCAAGGCGGCCCGCTCTTCCGCCGACATGGCACAGCCCATCTTGCCACAGGTTGCCTTCACAAACGCCACCACCAACCACTAAATTCCACCCTTCCTCCGTAACCGTTACTCTAGCCTCGTTCCGACCTCGGCTCGCGACTCGCGTCGCAAGAGTCGCCACGAGATTTTCTTCACCGCCGTCGCCACCCTCCTCCGCCGCCGCCTCCGCTTCGTCTCCTCCGCCGCCACCCTCGGACTCCTCTTCCTCGGCGTCGTCGTCTTCGTCTTCGTTTCTCACCCCGACGAACACCGCCTCGAGCGACTCCTTACCGGCGTTCCCTCACTAGCTGCTCCACCACGCTTGCCACTTTTCGATTTCTACCGACGGAGACACCGCCACCCTGGGACGAGTTGTACCTCTCCCGAGCACTAGCTCTGCAACAAACCATTTCACGTTTCCCTTGAGTGCTTCTTCGTGTCTCTACGTTTATAGCCAGATCAAATTCAATTGGCCACTCGAGACCACCTGGAGGTTATCAGATATACAGGGTGTTCAAACAAAAAAAAAAAAAAAGAAAACCCGGTTAACCTTTGGACCTATGTTTACTAGAGCTTTTTTACTCGGTACAGTGTGCCCTATACACCATATTAAGGGAGTGGACTCCCGTGCCTTGTACGTGCTCGTACGCACTCACACAGCTCCACGTCACTGTATACGTACACGGAACTGCAAGGACTTGCGTATTGTCCTATTTTTATCTCGACAATGCAAATTTCAGACCTCTCGATAGTTTCGATAGTTTCCGCTAGATACAGCGAGTGTAGAAAGTATTCGTACATCGAGCAATTTCCCAAAAAAAACTATGTAAAATTGTAATTTATTAACTTATTTTCTATAAACAATGACATTCTACATATTCTCGGAAATCTTTAGAATAGATAGAGTACAAAGAGAAAATAGTTATTTATGTGAGTTGCGAAATTAACTAGAAGAAAACAATTAATCGATAGAAATATTGAAGCAATAAGTATTCGCACAACTGTTTCATTTTTCAAACTTTATTAAGAAAAAAAGAAATTTAGATTAATTTGTAAGTATGTAATACTTCATTCGTGGGATTTCATTTTGATTTTATAATTATTGAAACTCTTCTAAGCATTAAACTAACTCAATTATTAGTTATTCGAAGTGGGATCTTTTTCCATTCCACTATCAGAGCCATTTTTAAAAGTACTTTACTGGAAATTTGATATTTTCTAATTCGTACGGAGCAATAAATTAACGTGTTTACGTTAAAAACTCCACTGTAAATGATTCGTCATAAGAATCGTACAAATACTTATTGCTTCTATACTTATTGCTTCTATACTTTTACCCACTTTTTGCATGTTTTTGTTAATTTCACAAATTATATTAATTAGAAAATGTCGTTTGGACTGTATCTATCTTAGAGACTTCCGGGAATATGTAAAATATCATTGATTACAAAAAAAGAAGTTAAGAAATTACAATTACACACAAAAGTTTTTTCGAAAATTGATGGATGCACGAATACACTCTACAACCACTGTAAATGTTCAAACTTGTGCGCAAGCTCCTATAGGTAGTCTACTTTTGCTTCTTTTGTGTCATAATTAATAATATTCAGCAGTATTTCGCGATCAAAAGAAGCAATATGGTGGTGCGACAGTGCTGCCGCGTTGTCTGAGCTAACATACGCTGCTGAATATTATTAATTATGACACAAAAAAAAAAAAACAAAAGTAGACTACCTATAGGAGCTTGCGCACAAGTTTGAACATTTATCTTGCTGGAAACGACTATCGAGAGGTTTCAAATTTGCATTGTCGAGACAAAAATAGGACAAGCCCTTGCAGTTCCGTGCACGTATACAGTGATGTCGAGCTGTGTGAGTGCGTACGAGCGCGTACAAGCCACGGGAGTCCACTCCCTTAATATGGTGTATAGAGCACACTGTACTGAGTAAAAAAGCTTCAGTAAACATAGGTCCAAAGGTCGACCGTTTCTGAGATATAAACGTTTTTGTTTGCTGGTATCATGATTCACTTACTACTCGGTTTGCGATATTTATACAAGATTTTCCGCGTGTTCACCGCTCATTTCTGTACACGAAACTGAAAAAATGAAATTGACGAAATTGTCGGCACTTGAATGGGAACATTCAGAACGCAATTTATAAACGCTGACATAAACATCGCATGCGATGGAAGCAAGTAAGTGAATCGTGATACTAGCAAACAAAAATATGTTTATATCTCAGAAACGGTTGACCTTTGGACCTATGTTTACTAAAGCTTTTTTACTCGGTACAGTGTACCCTATACGCCATATAAATATTGAATGCTTTTTTTTTTTTTTTTTTTTCGTTTGAACACCCTGTATATGTATACGACAGGCCACGTCAATTCCTCGAGTCCCATGGAAATGACCGACGCCAACATTGACCGCGATATACATTCTCTGCGCGGACAATTACGCACGTTATAGAGCTACGTGAACCTGGCACGCGACTTTCAAAAAATTAACTTTTATTTCTTCATGGAAAATGATAGTAGTTCGTTTGTAGTTGATTGTAGCCATAATAGTTTCGTCTGTGGTTTCACGATTTTGATAAATAAAAAAGAAATTGAGGAAATGATCAGCACCCGACATTGAGACATCTCGAATCCGTTTTTTCCATGCGATTCAGAATCGGAGGCGAAGATTTTGTGGATACCAGCCTCGGCCCTCATTCTTTATGATTGAAAATCATTTTATTTTTGAAACCAGGGAGATGCCAACGGGGAAATGTAAGCATGGATATAGAGCCGGGGACAAATGGATAGGTATGTGATACTGTAATGGTGGGAGGGGGAGGTACGCGCGAACGGAGAAAAGCTTTTTACTGACAATCAGATTGATTTTCAATCCCTTGATTCTAAACGACGAGCGTGAAATCTGTTCATTTGTTTGCTAAAGATCTTGCACGATACAAGCTCTCGGATCGAGTTGGAACCGTCGAACCATTACTGACACCCATTTTTATTAACCCTTTGCACTCGAGACCATTTTTTTCTGGTATCTGTCAGCAACTCGAAATGCTTTTTTAGCATTATATTGTCACGAATGCTAAGGTTAGATTGACTTCGAAAATGAGATCTCTAATTTGTGATTTGAAAATCAGGTCACCGTTGCCTCAACGACAATCATTTTATTGGCACCTCGAGTTCCAAAGAAATCAAACCTAAAGGAAAGCTAGCGGTGACTGAGAGTCGCCTCTCGAGTGCAAAGGGTTAAAATATAATTTAATACGATCGTTTTACTTGAATAGTTATGTTATCTTGTAAATTATGTTTGTTATTTTCTTATATTAAAATGGGTATCGGTATTAGTTAGTATATTTTTGTTGTGCGTGGGGGGTTCTCTGGGGGCGTAGCTCCCCAAAAATACTTTTTGGGGGAATGCTCAAGAGTGTGACCTTCATAAACTCTATGAACGCCAAAGTTGCATTGAGTAAACGTACACGCAGGTTCTAGTGTAATACTAATGATATATTTTGTTCAATAACTTTTTAATAAAAACTCGAGTGACGCCTAAAACCCGTTGGATGTTACTTAGAAGGGTGACCTTGAGAACACAAGGTCAAGGTCATCGGAGCTGCCTCCCCTAAACGTAACCTTTACCAAAAATACTATTCTGCGTCAATTACGAACTCTCTTTGACACTCCCATTTTATAAATACGTATTATTTTTTGCAAGACTCTGCGTTTCGACATTCAGAGTTCATCGTTCGCCTAACCTCGAAGGAGACAAGCTGTACTTGCGTAACAGTGGCTGTTGTTTCTGGGGTGATTCATGGCTTGCAGAGTAGGTGATACGGTCTTTGAACGGTCAATTGAGTTTAAGTCGACATTAGTATGCAGCATGCAAAAGATAACAGTGGACCACCTATTAAAATTGAAAGCATATCATCGTTCGCTAACATACTTCGGTAGGCTACGTAAAGGATGTCTCGTTTAAATCAAAATGTTTCAATATTTCACGGAGGGATAAAAGATTATCAAAAAAAATGTAAATAATTTGTTGTACGTAAAACAGTGGGCGAGATTTGTAAAAGAAATTAATTTTTTTAAATGGAACCTTTCCATATACCTTCCAATATTTTTGTCCATAATATGAAAGCACTTGTTTAGACACATCCGTTGATCTAAAAACATGGTCATTTATTGGACTAGCCTTAAATTAATGTTTAAAGTCAGTAGATTTAACGTATCACGAAAAATAAACCTTAAGGGGATATTCTGAATTAGGAGGCCTAAAAATAGCGATTTTTCGTGAATTTTTTTAGGATGGAAGAAAATAATTAATTCTATCAAACTTTTTATCCAATTTTCATACATATTTGAGTCGACTGTACAAATTTTTTCAAGAAGAAATATTCAAATTGAGTCGACCGCGACGCACATTTGTAGAGCACCTCGCAATTAAAACCTCCTATCGGCGGGAAGGATGCAGGTGGTAATTTTCGTTTGACACAAAAAGAACCAAAAGAAATTTTCATTTTCATTTTCATACATTTTTCTTTTATGTGAACTAAGAAAATTCCTACAAAAAAAAATGTTAAACAACTTTTTTATCAAGTTAAAGTGATTTTTTCCACATTTCACCATTTTAGCGGGTTTTTCTTAGTTCACATAGAAGAAAATGTATGAAAATGAAAATTTCTTTTCATTTTTTTGTGTCAAACCAAAATTACGACCTCCATCTTTCCCGCCGATAGGAGGTTTCTTCTTGAAAAAATTTGTACAGTCGACTCAAGTATGTATGAAAATAGAATAAAAAGTTCGATAGAATTAATTATTTTTTTCCATCCTAAAAAAATTCACGAAAAACCGCTTGTTTAGACCTCCTAATTCAGGATACCTCCTTAATAATGTTGTCTTTTTATGAATTTTGATGACTACCCTCAACGAGTACAGTTTCAACAACTTTCCCCTAGACGATTTCAACGATAATTAGAAAAAACCTTTATTTAGGGAAAGAAAATTAATACAGACGTCTAATTACCAAGAGATTATCGTAAGATAACAGAAAATTTTTCGTTTCCCATTCATATTTCCTTTCATTAAGAAATCAGCTACGTTTGACAGCATGTATCTTTATAAACACTGATAACGAAGATAATTCCGACGCCAGTCAAACCTGGCATTACTTGGAATGAAAGTAGTTTCAGGTAATTCCATTTTTTATGAATTCCTACGATTCCGTGAGTCTCGAAACAACCTAGATTACTTTGTTTAGTATGAGATTAACACGTTGGTCACCGCGTCACTCGTATATGGATGACAGGACTTTTCACAGTGAATGAAAAAAAATTATTCTAAAGATGAGATGTTAAAGAATATAATTCTGGGACAATTATTTGGGAATTTTG